CCCCCCAAAACTTTCTTTGACACACTATTAAACTGAGTGAGGTCTGTCTACAAGACAATCACATCGAATACATTGGTGTGTGTGTGGGGATTGACATTCAAGATTAACTTTAAAAATGTTAACATTAAAAAACAACCTTAAAGGGACACTATAATCACCAAAACAACTTTAGTGAAATGATACAGTTTTGATGTATAGATCATGACCCTGCAGTCTCACTGCTTAATTCACTGCCATTTATGAGTTAAATCATTTAGTATATGCAGCCTTAGCCACACCTCCTTGCATGTGACTTACACAGCCTTCTTAAACACTTCCTGTAAAGAGTCATCTAATGTTTACACTTATTTATTGCAAATTCTGTTTAATTTAGAATTTCTTATCTCTCTATTACAGAGGCATGACCTATATACCCATTAAGCTAAAGTTGTTTTGGTGACTGTAGTTTCCATTTAATGGAACACTATAACATTAGGAAGACAAATGCATATGTCTAACGCTATAGAGCACTGGAATTCCCACCTGTAGAGAGTAAAAATTGTAGTTTACCTTTTCCGATCTCCGTCCTGTTTCCTTGTCTAAAATCATCGAGATTGATGATCTCATCCAATTCAATGCTTTCCTTTACAAACTATAATTTAACGGTACTGTTGCATAATGAGTGAGTTTAATGAAGCTGGATACTTTAACAATTTAGCAGTTAATATCCCCTTACTGCTCTTTAACCATGTGAGATCTTGGTGTAATATTCAGGGGAAATTTGCAATGATCTAAAAATGGATGGAATTCCGTGTTTGACTGAAGACGCTAATGATGAAATGTTAATCTATTCTGTGTATTTAGTTCTCAACGATTTCCCTTTTTGGAAAAAATACTTAGATTGCCAGTACAATGTCACACCTTAAATATTTTGAATAATTGCATTGTCCCTTTTGAGACCGCACATGACATGTAAGAATTGAAAATACTTAACTTATTTTTATTATGTCAACCATTCTGTTTTGCCCTCAGCACAAAATATGGTACAGTATTACAAAAAGCAGTACAACGAAAGCCACATGAATAAAAAAATAAACAAATAACAGAACAACAAATATTCAAAAACACATTATACAAAAATACACTATTAGTTTCGATTATCTGTAGCAGATTACATTAAATACTTTTTATCGTGCACCTTTGTATTCAAATTAGGCAATAAATACTGATGATCCAACTCAGTAAGTACGTACGTTCATTAGAATCTGAGGAAAAAAAACATAAAACTAACAGGGTTGGATTGTGTTGAGAATTGCATGCAATGTAAAAAAAATTAAAAGTAAATTACACAATTTAGGCCAGAATAGATAAATTGGAAAAAGTGAACTCTGTTATTTGTTGGCTAGTCTGGCCTTAAAGGAACACTCCAGACACACACAGCACTTAGGCTTGTGTCTAGAGTTTATCATATTTATGACAAATAAAAGAACAATATAGTCACCAAAACAACTTTATCTTAATGAAGCAGTTTTGGTGTATACATCATGCCTCTAAAGTTTTACTACTCAATTCCCTGCCATTTAGGAGTTAAATTACTTTTGTTTCTGTTTCTGCAGCCCTAGCGACACCTCCCCTGGCTGTAGCCACAGCCAGCATGAAAATAAAATAGCTTCATTTTCAATCAGATGTAATTTATTTTACAATTATTTTTTTTAATCTTCTACTCTGTAAATTGAACTTTAATTGCATACAAGAGAATCCAGCAGAGACAAGCAAACTATTAACAGAGCAGGAGATAAGAAATTCAAAATTAAAAAGAGTAAGCAATAAAGGAAGTGTAAACATGAGATGACTCTTTACAGGAAGTGTTTAGGAAGGCTGTGTAAGTCACATGAAAGGAGGTGTGGCTAGGGCTGCATAAACAAAGTGAGTTAACTTCTAAATGTCAGAGAATTGAGCAGTGAGACTGCAGGGGCATGATCTATACACCAAAACTACTTCACTGGGCTAGTTGTTTTGTGACTATAGTGTCCCTTTAATAAAAGTGTTGATTTTTTTAATAGAAATGTGGACACTTTTAATTAGGGGCCAATCAGACAGCCAGAGTTTTTTTTTTTCCTCTTCTGCTGACCTAACAAAAGCATTACAGCTCACCTGCCTTCCATCCTTCTCAATGAGAAGTAATATACGTTATTGAGAAGCATAGGAAAGCCACGATTGTGTGCTTGCGCATGCGCTTGTGAGTCTACACACAGAGGCTGGTACAGACGTAAAAATCTGTGCTTGGAAAAGAAGAGAGGGCTTGCAAAGGCTGCAGCTTTTGCAAGGTGATTTTCATATACATACAAAGAAAACATGCTGAAAATTCATGCATGGTTTTTTTTTGGTTGTATATTTATTAAATTGTTAAATGTATATATATTTTCAATGGAGTGATCCTCTTAATGTGCTATTCACTTTGTATTCCCATCAATTTTCACTTCAGTGAATAGCCCAGTCATTATATACTATAATAAATAGCGCTGGTGCTAAAAGCAAACACGTAGTCATTAAAGGACCACTATAGTGCCAGGAAAACATACTCATTTTCCTGGCACTATAGTGCCCTGAGGGTGCCTCCCACCAGGCTCTGGGGTGAGGAAGGGGTTAAACTTACCTCTTTCTCCAGCGCCGGGCGGGAAGCTGTCCTCCTGCTCTCCTCCTCTTCGGCTGAATGCGCATGCGCGGCAGGAGCTGCGCGCGCATTCAGCCAGTCTCATAGGAAAGCATTCATAATGCTTTCCTATGGACGCTGCGTCTTCTCACTGTGATTTTCACAGTGAGAAGCACGCAAGCGCCTCTAGCGGCTGTCAAGAGACAGCCACTAGAGGCTGGATTAACCTATTTATAAACATAGCAGTTTCTCTGAAACTGCTATGTTTATAAAAAAAAAGATTGTTAACCCTAGCTGGACTAGGCACCCAGATCACTTCATTAAGCTCAGGGACCCCCTCCCGCCGGGCTCTGGGGTGAGGAAGGGGTTAAACTTACCTTTCTCCAGCGCCGGGCGGGAAGATGTCCTCCTGCTCTCCTCCTCTTCGGCTGAATGCGCATGTGCGGCAGGAGCTGCGCGCGCATTCAGCCAGTCTCATAGGAAAGCATTCATAATGCTTTACTATGGACGCTTGCGTCTTCTCACTGTGATTTTCACAGTGAGAAGCACGTAAGCACCTCTAGCGGCTGTCAATGAGACAGCCACTAGAGGCTGGATTAACCTATTTATAAACATAGCAGCTTATCTGAAACTGCTATGTTTATAAAAATAAAGGGTTAACCCTAGCTGGACCAGGCACCCAGACCACTTCATTAATCTGAAGTGGTCTGGGTGCCTATAGTGGTCCTTTAACGGCAAACACAGGCATATTTGTAAATATCTGCCAATAACAAAACAAATATGCAAAACATTTCTTTGTGGTCTATTCATAATGTGCTGTAGTCAGAAGGGGTAAGTCCTGAATTTGTCCTTTGCAGCTGTATTTTTGTTACTTTGTATAATTAATAATTTAGAAAAATATTATGAAGCACTTGGAGCCTGAACAAAACTGTACACAGTTATCATCCTACATTAAACAGTATTTATACATTGCATTGTACAAAAAAAGTGCAAGGACAAGGGAGCTATATAACTACTGACATCTACTGACTCCAGATATTGTAGAGGGAGCTGAGGTTATGGTACTAATGCAGGAATAAGGGCTAAATACGTTCACAGACACATGCCCCTATAGTGTTCTCAGTAACAATAAGGGAGAGATTGTGTCCTGTGCAGCACAAATGTTGGTCTCCATGGTAATCAGTTTATTACATGGAAAATGAAGACTGCTTCTCTTTAAAATGAACCCTCTCCAAACATGGTCATATCACTTATCGTGTGCACCACTGGCACACAGCTAGACACACACCTGGCACACAGCTAGGCACATAACTGGCAAACACAAGGCACACAGCTAGGGACATACACCTGGCACACAGCTCGGGACACACCTGGCACACAGCTCGGGACACACCTGGCACCCAACTGGCAAACACCTGGCACACAGCTAGGAACACACCTGACACACAACTGGCATGCTCCTCTCATACAGCTGGCACACAGTTGGCATGTACCTGGCACACAGTTGGCATGTACCTGGCACACAGATTGGCACACAGCTGGGGATCTGATCATTCTGCAAATTACAACAAAACTATAAAACTGACTGGGACAGCTGGAAAGTATAGTACTTTTATATCTGTGGAGAGAGAGAGAGAGGAACCTGCTCAATAAATAGACTACATTCCAGCAACTTAGATATAGACAGACAGGTACAGACTCTCAGACAGACTCTCTGATAGACAGGCTCTCAGATACAGACTCTTAGATAGACGGACATACTATACATAGAGAGAGAGAGAGAGATACTCTCACACAGACAGACTATACAGAGAGAGAAAGAGAGACTTTCAGACCGATTATACATAGAGAGACACTCTCAGACAGACTATACATAGAGAGAGAGACACTCTCAGACAGACAGGCTATACATAGAGAGAGAGACACTCTCAGACAGAATATACATATATAGAGAGAGAGAGAATCTCAGACAGACAGGCTATACAGAGAGAGAGAGAGAGAGAGAGAGACTCTCAGACAGAATATACATAGAGAGAAAATCTCAGACAAACAGGTTATACATAGAGATAGAGAGAGACACTCATACAGATTATACATAGAGACAGAGATACACACTCAGACAGAATATACATAGAGAGAGAGAATCTCAGACAGACACACAGAGTATACATAGAGAGAGAGAATCTCAGACAAACACACAGAGTATACATAGATAGAGAGATACACACTCAGACAGAGTATACATAGATAGAGAGATACACACTCAGACAGACATCCAACAGACAGATGTATGTACTCTGTCCTTATGTAATTCACCCTGTATTACACATATTCTGATGAATGAAATAGAATTGCTTCCCCTTCTCCTTCACATACAGCTGACCAGCATGGACGAGGTCTCCTTTCCTGTGGACCCTGATGTTTGTAGGAATGAGCGCTGTAGTAGGGTGGTTGCCTCCACCTCCGTTGTAGTTGTGGTACTGAAGGGCTCCCTACGAGGGGTGGGGGCACCTAATGGAAAGAAGTCCCTGGGGAATGTCATCTCCCTGTATTCCTCCAAGCAGCAGGCGAAGCACACCTTCTTCTCCAACCTGCTGAGGAGCACGTTGTTGGTTCTGAAGAAGAGATAAACATAGGGATTGACCGCACTGTTGGTCACCACGAAAATGCCCAGCACAGCCATGACCTGCTCGTCCAGCCCAGTGATGGTCCCAAACGCCACTTTCATCTCCACAACAAAATAAGGCAGTTCACAAACTATGAAGAGTATGATGATGACCAGAGTCATTTTAAGTGTCTTCACCTTAGCCCTAGGGATGCAGCTATTAATGGCCACCAGTCTCATAGGTCTTTTGGTGGCTTGGGCACGGTTGTTCAGAAGCCCACCATCTCCTTTCAGATCTTTTGGATGTTGGCTTTCATTGCCCTTTCTCCAGATGACCCAGAGGATACGGCTGTAAGTTACCATTAAGATGCAAAAAGGTAAGAAGAAAACATTAACTGAGTTGTAGATGATGTAGGCTTGGAAGTGCCATCTGGGTAACTGTCCAAAAACATTTTGACACCGGTGCCCTTGCTCAACTGTAGTCAACTTGAAGACAAAAGCCTGGGGAATGGCCAGTAGAACAGACAACAGCCACCCTATGGCTGCAAAGTAACGAGTTGGCAGAGGGGTACTTAGAGGGTTCATAATTACATCATGCCTCTCCAGGGCAACTATTGCAATGATATTAGAGGAGGCGATGAGTCCAGAGACCTGGACAACTTTGAAGATCCTGCAGGCCACATCACCCAGGAGCCACTCATCCTCCAGAAGCTCCCAGATAATCTGAGAGAGCAGGGTCACCACAGACACATAGAGATCTGCCAGGGCAAGGTGGGTGATGAGGAAGTTGATCTTTCTCTTCTTGTCTTTCCCACAGCAGATCTTGTAGAGCACCACTGTGTTCCCCACCAATGCCACAACGAAGATGATGGTCATGATGATGATCCTTAACGGTCTATTGTATTTGGGAGCTCCCAGAGCTTGAGCCTGGTCAGAAGAAGAACTGTTTAGTCCAACTGACGTGTTGCTGTTGAATTGGGTGTCATTGGAAAGGTTTACCAGTAAGTTCCCATAGAACAGATCTTCCATCTCATGTAACGTTCTACTGAATGTTCTACAGAAGTGAGACTTTGTATCAGGTTTGAGGCTGGAGCTTGATTAGCAATCCTAATCTAGAGGCATCCAGAGAGAGAAAGAGATGTCTCCTAATCCCTGTGCACAGGCTCTGAAGTTGCTCTGAAAATAAATTGCAGTTTTCTTTAAGTGTGAGCTTTTTAGCAGATCATCTTGCCTGTCATTTGACTGCCTCAAAGGGGTGGTCTGGAGTATGGACCTGCACTGCCCCTAGCTACAAAGCAGTCTTCATTATGAATGTCTTGGAAACAGATCAGGAGGTGTAATTTATGTCACTGAAATGTTGTTGTTTTCCTCATCTGTTGTTGATATACATTGAGATGTTTCATTTCATGTCTTCATTGGATTTTAACTCATTTGATACCATACCAAGATGCCAGCTATGCATCAATTGCTCAGTTAGTATAGAAGGAAAAAGTCCTGACAGAGAGCTAAGTGAATAACTGTATTACTAAATAATGCCAAACCCATGCTATAATAAAATATTCTATTTATCATATAGCATTATAGGATCAATGGATAGGTGTTAAGAAATAATATTCTAAACTAGATACAATGTAACTCAGTCTTTGTGACATTCTGTGACGTTTGGAACACCTACAGTTCATGGATTTAAAGGATTGGCAAGCACAGTCGGACACAAACACTACAAACATATAGAAAGAATGACACTGATTTAACAAAGAACATGTTAGGCATGCTAGCTGCACACACACTCATAGAGAAATGCTACCTGTAAAATGTATGTCACGTTGATTTTGTCTGTTCATACAAAATTATTATGATATAGTCTAACATACATACAATTAGTTTGTAAAAATAATTATTTGGAATATGTAGTGCAATACCTAAGGGATGCTTTAAACACCATAACTACTTCAAATGAATGTGGTAGTCAGAGTGTAAACTCACCTTATAAATTGCTGTTGTTTGTTTAAATTTTTATTTACTCATTGAACATGCACAATTTTATATGGCTAACATACACTGTGTGCGTCACCCTAAACAAATATTTAGGCTTTTACGCTATGCATAGCTGTGCTGTGCTAGTGAATATTAGTTAAGGGAGAAGTGGAGTTACAGATCTAAACATTTATCAAAATAGTCATGTCATGCAGATGCAAATAAAATGTCGACCTTTACAAAGTAAGAGTGCAGAAACATTGTAATTGCTACTAAACCATAACAGTAAGCTGAAGTGGTTATGGTATGTCATCATACCACACATTTCCCAGGTGTTTTATACATGTCCTGTAGTATTGGTGAAACTAAATTTTGAACATATTAAAAAAGTGTGCACACAACCCTGTACTAGAAGATCTAAAAGATACAGACGATCTAGGTAACAAGTGGTCCAGCCCACCTTCAGTCAAGATGTCATATTATTCAGCTAGGGTCTCCAGCGCCCTTGGCGAGGAACCATATCGGCGCCTCCTCCCCCTCCCCCCATGAAAAAACAAAAACTTAATTTTTTTTTAGATCAAAGTTTTCCACCATGTAAAGGGAATCTAAAGAAATAAAGCTAGCATTATATTTTGTTTCCTCATCCTCCCTGTCCCATAAAAAGTGAATAAAGAGGAATTGAAAGTCCTGCCAGTCACCCAAAGCCCACCTCTCTATATGAAACCACTACAAGGAGAACACCATTAGCTAGTGCACATGAAATCGCAAATCATCTTATCCAATACTTTCCCAATAATGCCAAGGATAGGGTTTGCTCTTATGCAGCATTTCCCAAACCAGTCCTCAAGACCCACCAACAGTCCAGGTTTTGTTAGTATCTCCATTGGAATAAAACAGAGAAATGCATAAATCATGGACTGTTGGTGGGCCATGAGGACTGGGTTGGGAACCACTGCTCTAATGAATCTGTTATCAGCTTTAAATCATACATATATATTTACACTTTGGTGATGTGCCAGTGGAATGCTTGTCACTATATTGCAAGCCTAACACAGGCACCTCACACCTTTTTACAAGCATAACACAGGGCACATCACACCATATTAGTGGCGAAACCAGGGGGCTGGCTGCACTCACCTGAACATGCATAAATGGGGTGCTGCTGGGGGCCAATAAGTACAGTAAAAATGAAAATCCAGCGCACTCCCTTATCTACTAAACAGCAACTTCGGTGCTGACAGATTTTTATTTTTTTAAAAACACCTAATCTAGGCATTATTTTTTGCCTAGATTAGGTGTTTTTAAAAAACTAAAAAAATCTGTCATGTTCAGGTGAGTGCAGCAAGCCCCCTGGTTTCTCATATATATATATATTTGGGAGTCTAGCCAACTCCTTGGTTTTGCACCCCTCCCTGTCACAGGTGCCTCATCCCAGAGCCCTATTTAGCCTTGTACTGCAGAGAGCCCCAGATGGATTTTTCCCCCGCAAGTAAGTAGCTCATGAAGCAGACATTAGGCTATTAATTTAGGACCTGCCGAATATGGGGTACATTGACGTTGTGGCAGGCTTATGCAATGTGTGATCATATAATGGAACTAAACCCCCATTATTATTATTTTTATTATTATTATTTTTATATTTTATTTTTGTTGGATTTTTTTTTTTTTTGTATGCATTTCTCCATATTTCAAGAACAGAGTATGACATTGTATTATAACATTGGAATAATATAAAACATAGTGTTAAAAAGAAAGAAAAAGAAGAAGAAAGATATCGCAACATCGCACCACTGTATACAGGTATTACATTCTCAGTAACAGTTGTGTTTGGCCTAGATTACACATTGCGTTCATATCAGTCATGATAAACATTCAACATTGTCCTTTAATTCCTGTGTGTGTGTGATTTATTTTGTATCAAAGAATTATGTTGTTTGTTCTGGGTATCACTGTGTCTTAAGCCTATTATATCTAGGTAGTTTAATTGTTGGGAGAAGGAGGGGAAGACATCCCATGTTCCCCACTTCCCCCCCCAGCCTTATTCCCTGTCCCCTTTCTGGATTGCTTCCCCCCCTCTGGTCGGATGTGATGGTTTTTAGTCTTCAGCCTGTCTACCTCTCAATAATTCTTTCCAGGGTTGCCATATGTCTTTGTATCTGTGATATTTGTCTAGGGATCCCCATCTGAGTTCTTCCATCTCATGGAAATGTTCTATTCTTTGATACCAATCTTTTTTAGAGGGCGGATTCGCCGATTTCCAGTGATTCACTATTGAGCTTTTTGCCGCTGTCAGCATAAAGTAGACAAGGGAGTGTTTGAATTTATGGTGTGGTATTTTGAAATGGTATAAGAGGAGTGCCTCTGGGTTGAAGGGTATGGACGTGTCTATCACTAGATTGACAGTATTCCAGACTTCTTTCCAGAAGCCCGATACTTCTTGACCACCATATGTGTTGGAAGGTGCCCTTATCTGAGTTGCATCTCCAACATACTGGTGATGAGTTGGAGTCAAATCTGTGTATATCCACCGGGGTGGTATACCACTTGGAAATGAATTTATAATTAATCTCCTGTAGTGGTATACTAGAGTGTGCGTGAAAGATCGTTTGGAGGATATTCTTCCAATCTCCTACTTCCAAGTCTTTGCCTAAGTGTTCCCTCCATATTCTGGTAAAGTATGGTAATTGTGTATATGTCTTGGTTTGTAACAGTTTATAGCAAAGGGATGTCGGCTTAGAAGGCGTTTTTTCTCCTGAGCATAGTAGTTCAAGTTTGGTCCTGTCTCTTGGGGTCCAATTTGATAAGCCCTGCGCAGTCAAGAAATGTTGCATTTGTTCATACTGAAATCTCTGCATGAGTGATGGGTCTTTCCCTTCTGTCAGTAGTGTAATTGAGGCCAATCCCCCCTCTTTCACCACCTCGTCCAGTGTAATATTTGCTTCTTTTGTTCACCTCCCTGTGGTGTCAGTTGGAAACCCCTTTTCCCTGCTATAAAAAGGGGGTTGTTTGTTATAGGGTATTTTGGAGACGGTGTTGGGGCTATGTCTGGGAAATTGTGTACTTTTTTCCATATTTGTAAAGTTGGTGTTACCGTCGGGTGTGGTGGTGTCGTCCAGTCATTAACTGAGGTCAGAAGCCATGTAATTGTCTTCAATGATTCACCTATCTGAGCTTGCTCTAGTGTGACCCACCCTTTGGAAGCGTTTTGGTAGGACCAGTCTATAATACGGACTACGTGTATTGCCTGGTAGTACAGCCAGATGTCCGGCAGGCCCACCCCCCCTATCTCCTTAGGTCTAGTGAGTATATTGTATCTTATTCTTGGGCGTCTTTTGGCCCATATAAATTGTGTAAATAATGACTGAATCTTCTTAAAAAAGGTTCTTGGGATGGCGATGGGGAGAGTGTTCAATAGGTATAGTAGTCTGGGGAGTATATTCATTTTTAGGATATTTACCCTCCCAAACCATCGGAAGTGTGGTTTATTCCAGGTTTCCAGATCCACTAATAGCTCCTAAGATTTGTGGGAAATTAGCTCCATATAATAGCTTATTGTGTGAAGTTATATTGACTCCTAAATATTTGATGGACTTTGTTGCCCATTGAAATGCATATCGTGTTTGTAGTCGTGCTTTGTCCTTATCTGGTAATGTAAGGTTCAGTATTTCACATTTGTCGACATTTATTTTGAAGTTGGATAAGGCACTGTATTCGTCCAAGAGGTCTAACAGTGTGGGGAGGGACTTGAGGGGGTTAGTGAGTTTAAATAATAAATCGTCTGCAAATGCAGATACTTTGTACTGGTGTTTACCCACCTTTAAACCCCCATTAGTTTTTGCCTAAATTATTTTTATTTTTTAAACTAAAAAAATCTGTCCGCACCAAGTTGCTGTTTAGTGGATAAGGGAGTGCGCTGGATTTTCTTTTTTCCCATATTAATGCCAGACTGGGGATAAAGACCAGCCCTGGAAATAAAAGCAGGTCCATAGCATTGCGTCATTATACCAGCCCCATCTTATAACACTATATTCTTGATCAACAAAGCGTAACCATGAATTTTAAAAGTACATTTGAAGAGTGTATTATTATTTATAGATACGACTTGATATATACACCGTCCCAGGGCAATCTATATCACCAGTATTTACACAAGGTGATACCTCACACATTGCCCTGATATATACCCCATGCACAGGGCAATATATAGTCCCCAGTATGTACACAAGGTTATTTCAATGGCCCTGTGCAAGGGTATATATATCAGGGCAGTGTGTGAGACATAACCCTTTGTATATAGTGGGGGCATATATTAACTTACCCGAGCACACAGATAGCACTACCAGGATGTGCTACAGCAACCAGGACTTACCCGAGCACTGAGTTTGCACTCACAAGACTTGTCCCAGTACCCACCCCAGCACCCAGGATTTAGCCCAACACTGAGATTGTACTTACAGGACTTGCCCCAGGACTTCAAACAGCCTCTTGCATGTACCATGCAAGAGGGGAAAAGATGCCGGACGAGATTTCCAGTGGCAACAAAGACATTACATTGGCAGCTCTCACACTCTCAGTGACGCATCTGCATCCCGCCACGGCTAAATTCTTAAAGGCCGCATCACACAGCTGCCCCAGGGCACTCAGACACAATATTACAAGCTGGCACCTTTACTGGTATTTTTATTTTTTTTAATAACAAAAACCTCGGTTGTCTGAGTATAGTGGGGACTGCATGTGATGTACTAGGGGTGTCTGGGTGCAATGGGGACTGCGTATTGGGCTGTCTGAGTGAAATGGTTACAATTTGTGTGTGATATATTTGGCTGTCTGAGTGTAATGGGGACTGCATGTGATTGGGTATTGGGCTGTCTGTGTGTGATGATATTGGGCTGTGTATATGTGATGGAAACTGTTAGCATTGGGCTGGCTCTGTGTGATGAGAATGTGTGTGATCATTTTGTGCTGTCAATGTGTGATGGTTTTGTGCTGGCTGTGTATGGTGCTACTGTGTTTCTTAGTGCTAACCTGATGAGTAGATAGAATAATGTAACTGGTTATCTGTGCTGCCCGTGACCTGTATGAAAGTCGGTGAATCCTAGAACAAAACAAACTAAAATGATGTGTTTCATTTTCATACAATATGTAATCTGGGGACATACATTTAATCTGTCTAAAAGCTTCACTTTTTCTTCACACTCCCCCTCATGTGCCCCACCTATCCGTGTCTCTCTCCCTTCCCCATGCACCCTCCCGTGTCTCTCTCCCTTCCCCATGCACCCTCCCGTGTCTCTCTCCCTTCCCCATGCCCCCTTCCATGTCTCTCTCCCTTCCCCATGCCCCCTCCGGTGTCTCTCTCCCTTCCCCTTGCCCCCTCCCGTGTCTCTCTTCCTTCCCCTTGCCCCTTCCCGTGTCTCTCTCCCTTCCCCATGCCCCCTCCCATGTGTGTCTCTCTCTTTCTCCCCATGCCCCTCCCATGTCTCTCTCTCTCTCCCATGATACCCCCCATGCCTCCCTCCAATGTCTCTCTCTCCCCATGTCTCTGTCCCCATGCCCCCTCCCATGTCTGTCTATCTGTCCCCCATGATGCCCCCATCCAATGTCTCTCTGTCCCCAATGCCCCCCTCCCATGTCTCTCTCGGATGGCCACCCTCCCTGCCATTTTTCCTGTTAGAGCAGGAAAGGGGGGCGGCCTCTCGCTGGTGGCACGCTCACACTGAGCGCTGGGTAGTCACGTGACACCCGGCGCTCCTACGCAGAACGGAAGGAGGGGCAGGAGCTCCCCCTCCTAGTGTGTATTGTGCGTGTGGTTCCCTTATGGAGCAGCACACTTCCCTGGGGTGCCACACTGACTCTTGATTTTTGCGCCCCACCCACTCACCCTGCGCCCCTGGCAGGCGCCGGTTTCGCCAACCCCACAGTACACCCCTGGTGCTGGAGCAAAAAAAATCTGATCCATGGAGGCCCCACCTACCAACTTGTAGGACGTAAGAGATCTGCTGGTAATTTGATGGTGCCATATACCACAGGACACGTTCCGAGGTCTTGTGGAGTCCATGCCTTGATGCATCAGAGCTGTTTTGGCAGCACAAGTGTGACCTACATGTTATTAGGCAGGTAGTTTCAATGTTGTGGCTGATCATTATATAAACTGAAGTTCCTCTTATGTAGGTTGATATGCAGGAGTAAAAGCAATGCATTATCCAATGGTAGTGCCTGAATATCTTTGGCCATTGCTCCTTCCAGGACTGGCTGGCTTGGAGGCTGAGCTGTAAAGCAAGTCCAAAGATCATGAATAAAAGCTGGAATGAGAAAGAAAGTAAAAGATCTGGATTATACAGGTATAATTGCACTCGTGATGAAAACACGATACCAAACAACCAATACAGAGTGGGCCCTGGCTCAAGATATTTATGGCTCCTTCTAGGGCAAGGGTGGCCAAAACTTAGATCCTTAACTACAACTCCCACAATTCTTTGTCAACCAGGGATCTTCCATTTTCACCATTCAAGTGGTGGACTCAGAACACCCAGGGTATCACAATCGATGATACCACTCTGATGTTGAAATGATTGCCATTTTACAACTCAGCCAGGAATCATCTCTTTATTTTAGGCAAAACTGAAAAATGATTCAGTTCATTTTGTTGCTTTCTCTAAAATTTCATCAGTAGCAAGAGGTAAGTTTAAAATACTAAAATTGTCTTTGTCGAGTTGATGCAGGTAGAAACGTTGCCATGTGGACATTTTTTGATGTGGAATAAAGTTACCGTCACGTCAGAGATTATTGATGCAGTTTTGTTACTTTGAATTTGGCTTATATGGGCTTGGTGCAGGGCCCTTAAAGGATCACTATAGTGTCAGGAAAATAAACGCGTTTTCCTGACACTATGGCATCCTTAGGACCACCCCCACCCTCAGGGTCCCCCTCCTGCGGCGCTTGAGGGGTTAAAATCCCTCCAGCCACTTACCTTTATCCAGCGCCGGGCTCTCTCGGCGCTGGTAACCTCACCCCCCGCCGATGTCAGCTTCCGAGTGGTGCGGAATGCACATGTGCAGCAAGAGCCGGGCGCGCATTTAAACAGTCCATAGGAACGTATTTCTCAATGCTTTCCTATGGACGTTCTGCCCGCGGGCTGCTAAATTCGCAGAAGTGCCTCTAGCAGCTGTCAGTGAGACAGCCATTAGAGGCTGGATTAACCCTGCAATGTAAACATTACAGTTTCTCTGAAACTGCTATGTTTACATCTGAAGGGTTAAAACCTGAGGGACCTGGCACCCAGACCACTTCATTGAGCTGAAGTGGTCTGGGTGCCTATAGTGGTCCTTTAATGTCTTACCACATCCACTCTCTCTTTTTTTTTTTCTTTCTCAATTGTCAAAAGTGATGTGAAGCAACTTCCCCTAAAGTGTGTTATTTCCCCAACAACACTTTTAAAATGTTTTACACTTTTAAAAAGTTGCTGCTATACAGAATCTGTCACAGAACCTAAGGCATAGAAAGTCAGTAGAACAGAGTACTACATGTCGGCATTACTTGCTGTTATGGAAAAGGCTATAATGTTTGGGCCAATCTGTAAATCAGACTAGTGATACTGAAGTTGCTTTACGACTATTTGTGACGCTGGAGATATGTGGATGGGTCAGAGAATTAGAGGGACGTACATTAACTATTAGCATTCACAGCTGGTCTTTCCAACCTTTGCCCATTATTTTCTTTGTCAGACCATGTAACTGTGTATTTAGGATGCAAATCCCACGTTCATATCTTATTAATATAAAATCTTTTAATCCGGGCACTGTTGCGTGTGGGGACTGGTATCAGCCGTACTGTTTGTGCAGGGGAATGGTAGCGGCTATAGTGTGTGGGAGACAGGGGTTGTATTATTTTGGGGGGTAATAGGGGCTAATGTGTTTATGGGGGGGTAGTATGGGCTGTAGTGTGTGTGAATAATTATAAAATAATAATGGTGAATAGTAAAACACACATACATTAAAGCAGTGGTAGTCAACCTTTTTCTACCTACTAACTTTTTCGCCCACTAATGCATATTTTTGGTTGAAAAAATTTCCTTATCGCCCACCAGTTTTCGTGCGGAATATTTTTTTAGAAAGGAGGGTGTTTTAAAAAAAATAAATGTACGTACCTTTATCTTTTTATTTCTACTTAATGCATGTTTATAATGTTTTTAACTTTATAAAGTTTAATGAGAAAACAATAAAGTAAATTGAAATAACCTTTACTATTGATTAATGAGATCCTTGAGGCTGATGCTGCAAGACTAAATATTTGATATCTGATTCGATTTTCGTAAGGAACAAACGAAGGTCTCCTCTTTCGGTGATATTCAGACGACTTCTCTGTTTGCGCATAATATGATTTCTCATCTGTGCATCAGCTCCCCTCCTCTCCCTCCTCAATTCCTCTCCCCACTTTTTTTTCCTTTTTTTCTATTTTTTAACCTTCCTTATAGCAGTAGGAAGGTTGAGCTAGGTAGCCCACTTACTATTACTTACTATAGCCCACTATAACAGACAGGCACACATACACAGGCACACATACATACAAATAGACAGGCACACATACAGACACACATAAGACCAGGGGAGGGCTGGCAGCCTTAGGCCTGGGGGGCAAAACCAGTCAAGTGGCCCATTGCACCACCAAATCAGTTCACCATCCATGCCCACCTTTTCCTGGTTTTATAACGGATATTGATGTTATGCTAATCAGTAGCTCTTTGCCATACCCGCTCCTTCACGGCTCCAGGCACTGCTTGTTGTGAGTGTGAGCCACTGTAAATTAGGGGCAGAGGGCACTTGCACTGCGGTAAAGATGGGGCTGGACAGGAGGAGAGTGCAGTGCAATCAGTGCACTCCCCTCCTGTGGGTCACCAGTAGACTGGTGCACCTGCCCAGGATCAGTGCCGGTGCAAGGATTTTTGCCGCCCTAGACAAAATAAAAATTTGCTGCCCCCCCATGTGACATCACAATGCCCCACCCATATGAACTAACGCCAGTGCTGCACACAGTGTGTGTTTACATTAAAAAGCCTGCAGGGACCAGCTATAGACACCAGAACCACTTCATTAAGCTATAGTGTCCCTTTAATGTGAGGTACATTATAGATTAGTGTCACTAATAATATACTAGATTGCCTACTTACAAGCAGATGAGGATGATGATGGGCTGCAGTTTGGCTCCACTGGTCTGGTGTAGAACAGGATCTCTGGAGGCTGTTTGCAGCTGTGGTCACAAAATTCAATGTTCTGGGAGAATTGGAAGCAGCTCCATTTTTTGGGGCCCCTTACACAGCTCAAGGTCTGGGCCCCAGGGCCTGACGGTGAGTATGCCCATAAGGCCCACTCATAAGTTCCACCCACCCATGAGTTCGCTCACAGGGAGTGGAGTGTGTAGGGGATGTGTTATGTGTTATTGTAGAGGATCTAATATGTGTGCTTATGGTATGTAGTGTATAGGGTTACCAGTTTGTGCAGGTGATGTAGTGTGTTTGTGTGTAGTGGAAGCAGTGTGTATTTGTGTATAAGGGATGTATTATGTGTTTCTGGTTGTGTGTAAGGGATGCATTGTGTGAATCTGTGTTTGTATGCATAAGGGATGCAAGGTGTGTGTCTGTATGTGTGTGCATTGAGTGTAGAGATGCATTGTGTTTCTGTGTGTATGTAAGAAAAGAAGTGTGTGTGTTTGCATATGTGTGTACGGGTTTGCATTGTCTGTTTCTGTGTATGTGTGCAAAGGATGCATTGTCTTTGTGTGTAAGGGTTGCATTGTGTGTGTGTGTGTAATGGATGTATTGTGTGTTTCTCTGTGTGTAAGGGAAGCATGTTGTGTTTCTGTGTATGTATAGGGATGCATTGTGTGTGTGTGCGCGCGCGTAGTGTGAAAGAGCTCCCTGTCTTGGCCCCTGTCCTATAGAGCTGCCCCTTCTGTCCCGTAGAGCTCTCCCCTGCACCTTAGTGGTCTCTCCTCTCCCCCACCCTCCCCTAGCGGTCTCTTCTCACACTCACCCACCCTCCCTGTGCTCTTCTCACTCCTCCCTCTATGTGTTCTCCTCACACCCCCTGTGTTCGTGTTCGTCTTACCCCCTCCTCCCTGTGTTCTTCATACTTCCCCCCTTCTTCTTATCCCCCACCTGTTCTTCTTAACCCCCCTTCTTCTTATTGCTCCCCCTTCTTCTTCTTACCCCCCCTTCTTCTTCTTCCTCTTCCTCCCCCTTCTTCTTCTTACTCCCCCCATTTCTTCATACTCACCCTTCTTCTTACCCCCTCTTCTTCTTCTTACTTCTTACTCACCCCTTCTTCTTCTTACCCCCTCTTTCTTATCTCCCCTCCTTCTTACTCCCCCCTCCCCTCTTGCGCCTCCCCCCTCCCTCTTCTTATTCCCCCTCCTCTTCTTGTCCCCTCCCTCTTCTTGTTCCCCTCCTTATCCCCCTTTTTATCCCCCCTCCCCTCTTCTTACCCCCCTCCCCTGTTCTTACCCCCTCCCCTGTAGCGTGGCCGAGCTGCACTCCGGTCCGCGGTGGCCGGCCGGCCGGAGTGATAGGAAGGTGCACACTCAGTGTGCACTTCCTGTCAGTCCGGCCGGTTACAGGAAACAGAAACTCCTGTTCCGCGCGGAGTTTCTGTTTCCTGTAACCGGCCGGACTGACAGGAAGTGCACACTCAGTGTGCACCCTCCTATCACTCCGGCCGGCTGGCCGGCCACCGCGGACCGGAGTGCAGCTCGGCCACGCTACAGGGGAGGGGAGAAGCTGCAGCCGCCTGAGGCTCTTAACAGAGCGCTCAGGCGGCTGCAGTATTTAAAGGGCCGGCCCGCCGCGGCCGGCCTTACAGGAATTTAGGGCGGCCTGGGGGGCAATTGCCTCCCTGCCCCCCGGCCCAGCCCGCCCCTGCATAAGACATACATACAAAGACACACACACAAGCAGACAGACACAAGACACATACATACAAAGACAAGACACACACACAAGACATACATACATAGACACATACATAAGACACACAAACATACAAAGACACATACATACAGACAGACACACAATACATACATACAAAGACACATCCACACAAACACACACAAAATATTTTAGTCACCCTCCTGTTTCCTACCTTTTAGGTGCAGGAGGGTGACTTTCCCTTGGGTCCAGTGGTGGCTCAGGTGGATGGGAGTCAGAGTTCCTACTCTGACTCCCTGGTATTCCTCCCGCGCGGTCTGTGTGTTAGCTGGGAGGAGTGACGTGCAGTCACTTCCTCCCAGAGTTTGATGTAACCACAGGGGGCTGAGCCGTGCTGTTAAAGTGCCCAGTGCTGACCGGGCCCCCTTACAATCTACATCCATCAGGTGGCCCTGACAGCATGGGCCACCCGATGGACCCCTTGGACGGCGGCCCAGGCGGGAAATGGTGATGGCGGAACCCGGTCGCAGGGGTACCGCTGGCTCTCACCCGCCCTCCCGCCAAATCTCTGAAATTTAGGAAATCCCTACCGCCCAACTGAAATCCTGAAATGCCCACTAGTGGGCGGTAGGGACCAATGACTACCCCTTTATTAAAATGTATTCCTCCTTCTCTCTTGCTTACCTTAAACAATATATTCGAAGTTCCATCACATATGTAAAATTTGTATCAGTTGTTTTTTGGCATTTCCAACATGTGTTATTATGTTGGACATTATGTTTATTCATCTTTATATATCCTTCCACATTGTTTCTAGATGGGTAGAAGAGTTCGTCAGGCCCTTCTGTATTGTAAATGCCATTTCGCAATGTGTGCCAGTCCCATGCTGTCATGTAGCCAGACCACTGAACTCTCGCTTTTTCATTGAGCAGACTGTAGTGAACTGTAGTAGACAATAAATTAACTTTTTTTCCCCAAAATTTTTTTACGTAAGGCCTGATTGTTCATTATTAAGTCCATCATGATCAATAGCCGCTCCAACTGTAAATATGAGTACCGTTTATTAATTTTCGGTTAACTTTTAAGAATAAATTGTAGCCTGGAGAGTTTCAAAAGAACCCCTGATTCACAGAGCAATACACATAATGCTGGTTTTGAAGATTTATATATATATAAAAAAACTAATATAGTCTAAATTGTATTTGGTATTTAGGGAATAAACTCCAATGTATACAAATGCCTGGTAAGTAAAAGTAGTGAGCTGATGAATGCTTTTAACAAGTCCAGCCCTTCTTATCAGTAGGGAGTTCCAAGTACTTAGAAGACTGCTTAACACGTTGTTTTTTGTCATTGCAAATTGTTGCCTACACTACGAACATACTATTTACAGACACTTCACACAACTACAGCAGGAACTACTTACAGACTTATCCAAGGTAAGTTCAATAAAGCATAAAAAAAAAACTTGTACGCTAGTCAAAACTAAAGTGTGAATTTTTGAGAAGTCAAAGTTAATTACAAATTTTATGCCAAAATTTCTGCTATGTTGGCATAATTTTTAACTTCACTTTGAATTCCTGACAGCTCACACTGTAGTGATTAGCCCGTATCGTACTCAGCGTACTTATCAGAACAACCACGTGTATTGTATTCTATGGAGTGATAACTGTATTGTATAGATTTACATTGATTACAAGTTAATACAATGTACCGATAATAAGACTGTTAGCGACGTGCAATATAGCTAAAATTCCTGTATATATGTCTACCTTAGCCCATAGCCCCATCTTATTGTTTCTGTAATGACAGGTGTTACAGTCTCTAGAATAATATTATTCACTAATTCAAATGTCAATATCACATGTGCTCTCACAAAAAAAAAATCTAAATTCTTCAAAAACTAACAGTGGTGCTATAGGAAACATATATATCTGAATATATTGGTGTGGTTTATTTGTGAACATGCAGGTTAGTGTTAAACACACACACGCTATAAGGGTGCTGCTGGGACCAATATACAATCCAGCGCACTCACAATGCCAGCTTCAAAGCCCATAGAATGCCACACCTCATAATCTTCTAATGTTTGCATGTTCAGGTGAGTGCACCCATCTTGGATTTATATTTGGGAGTCCAGGCCAACTCCCCGGGTTTGCACCCCTCCCTGTCACAGGTACTTCATTCAGGGCCTTATTTAACCTGCCACCTCAACCTTCAATCTCATAAGAACAGGTTTAGGTTGTTAGGATAGGACCTGCCAAGAATGAGGTACCTTGGCGTTGTGGCAGGCTTATGCAAAGTATGATCTTACACTGTAACTATTTTTCTTTTGTCAGATGTTTTTTAAAAACTATGAAAGTGTTTGAGCGTCTTTGAAGCTGGTGTCTGAGTGAATTGATTCTGGAGGTTTACATATACATATTATAATTTTTATTCTGTAAGTTTTCATCACCAGGGTTCTTCTCAAATCTTATCTGTCCAAGTAAATTACGCGCTGTTACAATTCACAAGCAGACTTTTTTTTAAAAACCCATGTATCTAATTATATTTTCAATCCTCCTTATATATATCCGACACACAGGATATGGGTCAGGGGCACGCCAACTCCAAACCTGAAGAGGTGGATGAGTCCATGGTGTTAGTTGGAAGTGAGGAAGATTTCAAAAAATCAAAGAGAATCAAAGCTACAGTAAATGATAGAGAGGTTGTGATATTTTATCACGAAGGGAAATACCACGCATTGGACTTGCGCTGTTACCGTAAGCACACTAATCAAATATCCATATGACATGTGCACAACATAAAATTGTAATTTTTAAATGTGTTATTTTTTTTTTTATATATATAGATTCGGGGGGACCCTTACATCTTGGAGAAATTGAGGTTGGTGATTTAATTATTACGATACTCGTGTCTATTTATCCTGCTCTGTGATTATGAGCCCCATTCTAAAAGGCTCTGTAACGGCGACCAACATTTTTATGTCCATATTTCAAAGTAAACCTATTTAAATTGAATTCATATTAATGCGCTTTGACCATTAGTGGACCAAATAAATGAATAACCTATTGCACAACATTTGCTAATCAAAACGTCAATAATTACAGATTTTGGTTAAAAGGGAAATAATTCTCTGTGATGTCCATAGGTTTTAGCATCAGTTAACAATATGTTTGTAAGTGGCAGTGAGAGAAGACGGCATGATTTGTCGAGAAGGAAAAGCTACAAATTGTTATCTCCCCACACAGTCTGAGCACAGGACGTGTTTTTATGTTATCTAAAGTGACAAACAACTCATGGAGGCTAAGAAGTTCTGCCAATTAAATGTCCTTACGTAATGTCACAATTTGGGCTGACGACATAATATTTTAAAAACCCACGTCATCGGTTTACCATTTGAGAGCCAGACAGGGATATTTACTTAAAGGTGAATTGTCAGGAATTCATATTTAATTGAAAGCGAATTTCAAAATTTAGACCAAAACTATAAACATAGCCAAAAATCGTAACTACAAGCACCATAACTACTACAGAGCACTAACGCCTACCAACAACAATGGCCAGGTACTTTTGTGTATAAGTTACATATTGAATCTAGAGCAAACCCTACACGATATTCAAAACTACTTGCAAATTGTGCTCAAAAGGTATCTGAGCCCCTATCATCCCCCCCACCCCAAAATAATAAAATTGAATAAATTAGAATATTTATACATACATATTCTTAATTACGTTTGTCTGAACAGCAATCTATACCCCAAATTGCTGCTTTTATCATACGTGTATGTTTGAGTATAGCATGTTTCAAATAAATCCTAACAGTTTTTCAAGCAGGGATTTGTAGTTAAGCGATTACAAGACAAAGGGAGGTGAATGTTTGCAGGATATTTGAGCAAAAAAAACACTGTCAGGATTATTAATAAAAGTGAAAGTTTTAAAGTTAATTTCAAATTTAAGGCCAAAATAGTCAAACTGGAATATTTTTCTAAGTCAGCTATGCTTTACTTTTGGCTGTTCTGAGAGAGTAGTGGATGCATGGAATAGTCTCCCAGTTGAAGTGGTAAAGGTTAACACAGTGAAGGAGTTTAAGCATGCAGGGATAGGCATAAGGCTAACCTAACTATAAGATAAGGCCAGGGACTAATGAAAGTATTTAGAAAATTGGGCAAACTAGATGGGCCGAATGGTTCTTATCTGCCGTCACATTCTATGTTTCTGGCCTTGTAATGTTAATTATGTTGATCTAATTTACTTCTATTAATTAGACCCAGATGTTCTCAGATATTGACCATCTCATTAGCTATTCAATCTGCTCACAGGGTTTTTTTTTTTGTTTGTTTCAAAAGCCCACTTGACTTTCAAGGGAGGTTATGGTTGTCTGATGGAAGGTATAATAAAAAGCATTTGAAGTGTATTTATTTATATATATTTTTCTCTAAATGTGAAGTGTATTTAAAAAAAAAAACTACCCTTTTGTAAGTTATTTTATACTCTAGTGGTATATAATAATAGTTCAATATCACATTCCCATAGTCTCCCAGTGTCCCCATGTCTCAGTGTGTCTTCTAGGGACACTGAGAGACATGGGGACACAGACACTGGGAGACTAGGGGAAACTGGGAGCCATGTGGACACTGAGCCACTAGGGACACTGGCTGGGGGACATGGGGAGGCATGGGGACACTGTGTCCCAAGTGTCTCCATGTCCCATTGTCTGTGGCTCCCAATGTCCCTATTTCTCACAGCGTCCCCATGTCTCACAGCGTCCCTTAGTGTCTCAGTGTCCCCATGTTTTTCAGTGTCCACAAGTATGTGTCCCCAGGTGTCCCCTAGTGTCTGTGTCCCCATGTGTCCCCTAGTGTCTGTGTCCCCATGTGTCTCAGTGTCCCCTAGTGTTTCAGTGTCCCCAGGTCTCCCTGCTGCCTTTCACCCCCATCCCTCATTTACCTGAGCTGTAGAGCTGCTGTCTGGACTCTCTGTGCTGTGTAGCTGCTCCCCCACGGATCAGTGAGTAGTAGAGAGAGGCAGAGAGGGATATGCTGTAACTTCCTATCCCTGCCTCTCTCACACACAGTGACCCCTACTGGCCGGTGCTGGTATTGCATCAAATACCGGCTGTGCCAGTAAAATACTAGTCAGGTGGCAAACCTAAGAGAACCTAAGAGAAGAGAAAAAAAAAATGTTTAAATGGGCCTAGGCCTGGAGCTGCAGCTCCATCAGCCCCTATGTGAATCCGGCCCTGATCCTTGTGACAAGCATGCGCTCTACCACTGAGCTACACCCCCTACACAGCACGCAAAACCAGGATTCTTAAAAAAAAAAGACCAGAGCGAATTACTTGTTCATGGAGGTGGTCAGGTTTAACGCAGATTCCCAAGAATAACCAAAACACACTTGATAGCAGGTTGAACAAAGTCAGGACAAGCCAATACCATAGGAGCAACAATATAGGCAAGAAAGCAAAGTTATGTAATATGGATTGTGGGGTATTTCGAACCATGCCATAGGTTAAAATCCAGAAAACCAGTAAAAGACCCCATGACAGGAATTTGAAGGATGTTTATATAGTGTGAGCAAAAATAGGCCAGCATCATTCTGGTGTCATCAGAACATGCGTGCAGAGTGACGCCAAGATAACTCCATGGAGATAGTCTCCTTAGGATGTCAAATGATTCCAGAATCATAAGAGGATATAACATGGTAGTGTCTGCCAACATAAATAAAGAGGGGCCAGGCAACACGAGAGTCGGGAATGTGCAATGTGTGCAGGTACCATGACAAATATGAAATAAATGAATAGGTAAAACCATATTAGTCTATTAAGGTTGGACGTTAAAGGTAATATTGCAAAAACCAAACCAGGAACTGCACTCTTCCAAATCTATAGACTTAGATGCAACTAAACCAGAGGCCAGCACCAAACCTCTAATTGTATTTAGTAGTCAAAAAAGAAGGGTCCAGGCACTCTAAGGTGTAAATAGGCAAATTTATTGGACTCAAGTGTCCAGCAACATTTCAAACAGAAGAGGTCTTTAAGATGATATCGCTAAGACCTCTTCTGGTCGAAACGTTGCTGGACACTTGAGTTCAATAAATTTGCCTATGTATACCTTGGAGTGCCTGGACCTTTTTTATTTATTTTTTTATTTTTTTTTTAAATGTTTACACTACTATTTAAAGTTAACTCTGTCTTATATTCCTTATATAAGTTACCATTTTTGTCATGTTTGCATTCGTAGTGTCATCCTTATGGTGACAAGTCCAACAAAAAAATAAAAAAATTGGGGAGAAATTTAATTGGTATGTTTAAAATGCTCTCTACAATTGCTTTTGAGTCTCAAATTTCTTAAAGTGAGTAAATGTGTGTTTTTTTGTTTTTTTTGTTTTTTTTTAGCATGCATCATGTAAACTATCTTTGTTCTCCTAATATTGCTTAAAATATGTTTCCTATTTGAGATAGTGTCGGAACGGCACCAACCCTATGTAACAGCCCTCCTCATCCTATTGACATGTCCTTTAAGAAGTCCCTTGAAAACCTAAAAAAACCTCAGACAATCCTTTCATCTTTGAGTAATTCCTTAAACTGGTCTGCCCAGTGTCTCCTTACATCTCTACCCTTTTCACTCTACAGTCTTCCTACATACGGCTGCTTTAATTCATTCAACTAGATACAGGTTTCACAACTAATGATCTCATTCCCCCTTTTTTAAAGATTGCTCTACCTCGTGTTCCTAAAACATACCTCCCACAGATTGTAAGCTCAGTTGGAAAGGACCCTCATTTGTCTCTTCATGTTAACATTTTTATTTCTTATATATGAAGCTTGTACTTTACGATGATTTTTTTAGAATTAATAACAGAAAAAAATTAGGAAAAATATAAAAGACCAATATAATGTAAAATGTTTACCTTTTTTCTTCCAAATTTCACATATATTGAAGAAAAATTTTAAAAAATTTGGCAAAACGAGTCACCCAGTTTATATTCATTATAATAATTATTTCTCATTTTATCGTGCTTCTGATGACAACAGATGAACTCAATCGAGAGTTTCAGTTACGGGAACAATTTGATATCAATTTTTGTTAATGTAGGGCAATGTTCTTGAACATTATGATCCACATTTTTCTTTTTACTCACTAATTCAAAACTTTCTGAACATTTTATCTCTACTTTCTGAGTGGTAAAGCACTTGAAAACTGAGCAAAAAAGTTCAGATAAAAAGTAGGTAATTTTAGGTAGTGAAGAAAGGCATATAATAAGACCAATTTCAGTGCTTAAATGGATTTGAGGCCATATAATGTGATATCTCATAATTTCATCTGCGCTTAAAATACTAAATCGGCTTATTTAATCTTATGAACACCAATTTTTCCCATTATATCCAATGCAGTTTACTTTATTTAATTGCCAGTAATTATATAAGAGTGATCACAAAATCCCAGGCCACATTGGTATTTGTGCTTCTCTTATGTGCATGTCAGATAAGGGAACCAGAATTTGTACTGAACCATTATAGAGTGTAAGTAACAGTTGAAACATTTTACTGCTGCTTTTTAAAAGCCTCCTTTGATTAATTTTATTTTTTTCGCAGGACTGCAACGGACAGACTTGCATCATCTGCCCATGGCACAAGTATACAATTGCCTTAGGCACTGGAGAGGGACTGTATCAAGGGAAAGATCCTGAGAATCCTACAGCCAAAAAGTGGTACTCCAAGGGAGTGAAGCAAAGAGTTCATAAAGTCACCATCAGGAATGGTGGAGTTTACGTAACGCTATCAGATACAAGTATCAGATATGATTCTGATTATTACGCATCTGAGAAATTTGATGAAAAAACGTGCGTGAAAAAATAGGATGGTGTGATCTTAACAATGGTCTGTATAAGGAGCTCCTTTGTTCTGCTTGGATTTTGCGGGTATATTTAAAAAAAATCGGGATTTTATTTAATTGCATTACAGAAAAACTGCTATCTAAAGGTTAGGTGTAATTATATAATACACAGGAAATTGTGGCATATGGATCACAGGTCAAATGATAGGTATGTTAAACCACCTGCATCCGCTGTATCAAGACTACAAGTAAAAATATTTATCAAATAATCGAGTATTCTTTTAAACTTGAGATTTGTATCTATCATATTTACTACTATGTTATTTTAAACACTGTCATCTGGCTGATACTCGGATTCAAACGTTTCTTCATGTTTTTTTGCTGGTTCAAAAGCACTTTCCTGGAAAAATCCTAAATAATTTCAGTAGTACCTTTACTCCAGCTCTATAGCTTTGTACACTCCGGTTCACTTCCAGCACTTTACTAATGCTTTTTTTTTTACCAAAAAGGGGATTCCAGTATAAATGCAACATGATATTCCACAATATTGTCCACCAGCTGTTAATCCCAGGAAAGGTCTGTTTTAAACCTTTGATCTCAAATCAAACCAAACATGTAATAACTGCTAATATTTCACTATCTGTGGGGTTTTTTCCCTCTTAAATATGCACCGCTGAGACTATACTGTTTTCTAAATCACAGAATATACTTGAATATGAGAAGTCTTGATGTATTTCTCTTGATACATTTCCTAATAATAAATAAATATACATACCTGCATCTAACGCTGTTTGAATATGTGACTTTCTTAATTCTTTCACAGCTTGTGTTGGCTTAACGCTGAAAACAATGAATAGGTTGTATTCACATGATTATTTGTTACAAATAATCTGTGTGTAGGTGGGTATGGTTGTCACCCAGCCTAATAATTGTGCATTGATTCCTCTTTTTAAAATGACATCACCGCATAATAAAAACAAATGTGTGTAATGGTTTTGTTACTGTTATGGAAACAAATGCCAATACTGTACTTTTTACATGATACTTAGAGAAGGCAAAATATGCCAAGGATGCGCAGGAATGAGCTGAGGTCTATAGATATGAATGATCGGCGCAACATATGCAAAAAGTCAAAGCCAGGGGTACAAAAATTGTAGAACAAAACACAGCAGTCGTAATTTCCTTTAGTCAGTGCATTCTTGGTCAGAGGGGAGGGATGTTTTTTTAATAAATAAATAGCTGTCTGCAATGGAGGGGGGTGGGATGGAGCACACAGAGGGTGGGAGGGAAGGCGAAGCAATCTTCCCCTTGCAGTCGCTCTGACGCCAGTCGCTGTGTGACAGATACAAAAAATATTCACAGGAACGGAACAGAGTTCAACACTTGTGTTGAGGATGCCACTAGCCCCCAGCATGCAATTAAAAATATCTCAGTATGTGCAGTGTTTCAAGCTACAGTGCAAGCTTCAAGCTCCTACCACCATGACCACTTTAAATCAGTTTACGTTGGTGATAAAACATAGGAAATAGTTTTTCAATTCCAACTAGCAGCTCAAGGCATGATTTACCAACCCTACAGTTGGAGAGTCATTGAGAGTGGATATTTAAAGGGACACTCCTGACCTCAAAACACTTCAGCTTGCTGAAATGCTTTAAGAGTGAAGAATGTGTAATTTAAAAAAAAAAAAATTTTTTATTGCACACAAAAGTGCAGATTTCAACAGAAATTGTTACTTTTATAAATGAGCCTTGTTGCACCCCCTGGCTGTCAGTCATAGAGCAGGTCCTGTTTCTTCCTGGTTAGGTAAGCGGTGGAGCTAAACTCAAAAAGGCAAAACACAAAAAGTGATTACCCTAAAAAACACCAACACCCCGGTTCACTCTAAAATAAAAAAAGTGAATTACACAAAAATATTAAAATTTTATACTATTATTATGTCTTTTATATTGTTTGTAAACTCAAAACGCAGCAGTTGACCAGAGCACCTGCTTTGTAAAGACTTCTCATTGAGCTGCATTGGGAAGTCTGTGATTGGACAGTTACAGAAGGTCTGGGCTGGGGAAGAAGGGGAGGGCTTGCAAAGGCTGCATACAATATATCTATTGCAAGCTGTTTTTAGATATAGCTCAATTAAAAAAAAATTAGTATTTAAAGTGCTGAAGTGCTTTATACCTATGAAGTATTCTATTTTAAACCCAGTTAATAAAAAAAAAGCCAATTTCTTTGATAAATCTGCACTTTTATCATTAAAATTATAAACCCCTACCTGGCTGCCTGACAGCCAGGCACGTATTTTCCTCTTTCCATTAGCGCCCTTGAGCTAACGGGAATGACAGACATGCTCTACATAAACACACCTGCATTCCATCCCATTGCTGCCCACAGACCAGCATCCCCTAGCTCCTCTACAAACCTCAGACTCAGGCGAGCATGAGCAAGAGTGTGCACAGAGGGCACAGTCTTCTCAATTAGATTTTTGGGTTTACTTTTTAGTGTTGTGTAAACTATAAATTGCAATAATTATTTCAGTGCATCCTGGCTTTATTTTATTTAAAGGGACACTATAGTTACCAGAACAACTACAGCTTAATGTAGTTGTTCTGGTGAGTATAATCATTGCCTTCTGGCCAGTGGCGGATCCAGAGCCTGATCTCGGGAGGGGCACTTGTAGATTATTTAAATAAATAATCCAGACACAATAACCACTACAGCTCAGTGTAGTGGTTATGGTGCCAATAGTGCCGGGACCCCTTCCCAGAGTAAGTAGTCAAACCGTTTAAGAACAGTTTGACACCTTACCTGAGGTCTGCAGGGAAATGGGGTAGTAGTAGAGCATAGGAGCAGTGGTGTGTGTGAGTGGTGCAATGTGTAAGGGGTGCAGTGTGTGTGTGTGTGTGTGAGAGGGGGACAGTGTGTGAGCAGTGTGTGTGTGTGTGAAGGTTGTAGTGTGTGTGAGGGCGGCAGTGTATGTGTGTAACAGTGGCAGTGTATGTGTGTGTATGGGGCGGCAGTATGTGTGTATGGGGAGCAGTGTGTGTGTATGGGGGGGCAGTGTGTGTGTATGTGTGTAGAGTGTGTGTATGGGGGGCAGTGTGTGTGTATGGGGGGGCAGTGTGTGTGTATGAGGGGCAGTGTGTATGGGGGGGCAGTGTGTGTAGAGTGTGTGTGTGATAAGGGTAGGGGGGGCTTTTTTTATATTTTTTTTTATTTAATTCAATATAAATAATCATTATGTCCCCCCTCCCTTCTTACCTTTACTGGGGGGAGGGGGGACATTTCCCTGGTGGTCCGTCGTCTGTGGGCGATTCATGGGTGGTCCAGTGGGGAGAGTGAACTCTAGCCCGCGCTCCAGGGCTAGAGTTCACTCTCGCGAGATTTGGAGCGTTGCCGTGGTAACCGCGGCAACGCTTCAAATCTCACGAGAGGAGGACCCGGAGGAGCTGCAGCCTTAGCTTCCAGGTCCTCTCTCTCACTCCCTCCCTCCCACGCCGGCCGCCAGCACAGTGCCCTATAGTGTTAAAACCGCCATCTAGCTCCCCTGGGCCCCTCATGCCTCCATAAATATAGCAAAATCTTACTGTATCCAAGCCCGAAGCTGTAGATCTGCATGCTGTTTACCTAAAAAAAAACACCAAGCAATCTGCTGACATCATCAGAAGTGGTAGCCTGATCCAATCACAATGCTTCCCATTGGATTGGCTGAGACTGACAAAGAGGCAGATCAGAGGCAGACAGAGCCAGCAGGATTCAAACACAGCCGTGGCCAACCAGCATCTCCTCATAGAGATGAATTAAATCAATGAATCTCTATGAGGAAAGTCCAGTGTCTGCATGCAGAGGGAGGAGATACTGAATGTTTGGATGCATTTTAGGCAGCCATGACCCAGGAAGGATCTCTAACAGCCATCCGAGGAGTGGCCAGTGAAGTTATCACTAGGCTGTAATGTAAACACTGCATTTTCTCTGAAAAGACAGTGTTTACAGCAAAAAGCCTGAAGGTAATGATTCTACCCACCAGAACAATTTCAATAAACTGTAGTTTTTATGGTGTCTATAGTGTCCCTTTAAGGTGTTAATGGAAAAAAAATGCACGTGTACTCTGAATTAACCTGAAGGTGAATGTGAAATATATAGGTTAAAATCCCTGACTAAACTAAAAACGATATTGACGTTTTGGCCTAAATTTAGCAAATTTGGTTTGTAATTCATAGAAATTTATATTTCTGATAAATAAACATTTGGGAACTGAAAGATAACCATTTGCTTGTAAAACTTCCAGCTTCCGGTTATTGAATAAAAATTAAACGCCAGCTCAACGTTAAGGAAAATCAAGCATCTCGATTACTATGGTGTTTTCTGTCGTTGCATTGAAATGTTTCCTCTATCTATTGAAAGGAGCTCTCCAAGGTAGCTGAAATACTAGACTCGAAACAGAACTGATATGTTCTACTTCAAGATAAGTGAATGACTCTTGACATAACATTGGGTCAGCTTAAACTGAACAGCCTTAAGCCTCTGCTTATGCAATGTTTGCTATGGATTAACCACAGGTATAATGCGGCTTTTTAATCACATTCTTTTCCCTTTATTTTTGGAAGAAAATAAGATTTTTCTCCTAGTTTTATAAATATAATAATAATAATAATATAAGAAATTCATTAAACAATGTACATAACAAGTAATAGATACTCACCTTTGAACTTCCTGCATTTGTTGCAAATCACCAGGATTTGCAGCCTCCCACAGTGAGCACTGGATTGTATAGTAAGTAGCTGATACTTGTAAGATTACAATGTTTTGTTTTTTTAAAGGATGTCCATAGAATATTTATGGGATATGTAGTTCAGCACGTACAAGCTTCAAAATTGTATTCCTTACACTGTAGTTCCCTCTGCCGCATGCCCCTTTCTCTTTGTTCCCAGTCATTCCCATTTACTTTGCCACCGCATCAGTAATGTACGTACCTTCCTCACTACCTCAGACATGGGTTGGACAGTTATTGAAACTCTAATTCTTCCTTGCAGGACGTTACACATTATCAGTGTGTGCAGTTTGGGAAGGCAGGAACAGTAACTAACATAAACTATTGATCCCTTCCAGCACACATGTCAGTGCTCATGCTGGCAGACAATTGGCACTGGTTTAAAAATTATACTTATGAGGGTGGCAAAATGCCAACCTCATCTGAGTACCACCTGAGTCCTTTGCGCCCGCCAGGAACTGTGTAGGGTTGGCCCTTAGATTTTTTTGCACAACTGTAAAACATTTGCTTCTATGTAAACAAATGATTGGCACACATTTCTAGGGTTGAATAGATGTGCCCCTAATATCTTCCTTACAAAAATAGAACTTGGAGTCATTATGATCCACATTTCTTTGATTAATTACATATCGCACCAGGTTTATAATAAGCTGTTTTTCTTGTATGGTGTGCAGGTGTCTTTTTTAGTAAATCTTTTAAAATGTTAACATTATATAGCGGTGTCCCAAATAGACATCATCTAAATCTGTAACTTCTTTTTCATGCATACCATTGCCATCACTTTGGTTGCTGTTTAATGGCAGTTGTTTTGGTATAGGGCTTTCATGTCCTAATAAAACATTTATTAATACTATAATGATGGTCATTTTCATGGCTGACACATTATTTGCCACACTTAGCTTTCTGAATTCAGCGAGTCCGTAATATTTGCAGAATAACCTTACTTTCGGCCTTTCTTTTGATTGTACAATTACTGGAAAATTATTTCTGTAATGTCGACATTTTCTACAAGACATCTTGAGGCCTCATTTTAATCATCAAACAGGCAGGGTTCCGATCTCATTGTGCAGTTAATGTGCCAAAGTCAATTCTAGCTGGTCAATTGGCATGATCAAAGTATAAGCAATGTCATTATGATAGGGCACTGGATATGCCCAAAGCTTTTTCTACGTGTAAATTTATCTGGCCATTGATATTCTGAGCAAATGTCTCCATCAATTGCCTTATTTACCAAACCTACAGTATAAAAATGCTTGCAATGTTGAATAATGCCAAGTATCGGGGTTGTTGCTATCTTCTAACAATAACTGGAGCCTCAGCATAAACCAAAACTAATTGATCGCTTCCCAAGGCGCCATTCTTTGGTTTCTTGCAACAGTATATTGCACATTTAATTAAATCCTTTAAATGATGGGATACAAATTGTGTATTATTTTGTAACAATAGAATACATTGCCTTAAAAAGGTTAGTGGAGGGGTGCAAACAGGGCTGGGTTTACCCTTTTTACTACCTCATGGCCAGTTTCCTCACTCCACATCCCATATTTATATATATATATATATATATATATATATATATATATATATATATATACACACACACACACACACACACACACACACACACACACACACATATATATACACATTGAACAAAATTATAAACAAACACTTTTGTTTTTGCCCCCATTTTTCATGAGCTGAACTCAAAGGTCTTAGACTTTTTCTATGTACACAAAAGGCCTATTTCTCTCAAATATTGTTCACAAATCTGTCTAAATCTGTGTTAGTGAGCACTTCTCGTTTGCCGAGATAATCCATCCATCTCACAGGTGTGGTATATCAAGATGCTGATTAGACAGCATGATTATTGCACATGCGTGCCTTAGGCTGGCCCCAATAAAAGGCCACTCTAAAATGTGCAGTTTTATCACACAGCACAATGTCACAGATGTTGCAAGTTTTGAGGGAGCGTGCAACTGGCATGCTGACTGCAGGAATGTCCACCAGAGCTGTTGCCTGTGAATTCAATGTTCATTTATCTACCATAAGTTGTCTCCAAAGGCCTTTCAGAGAATTTGGCAGTACATCCAACCGGCCTCACAACTGCAGACCACGTGTAACCAGGGCCATCTTAAAGGTGGGGCAAACAGGGCAGCTGCCCTGGGCTCTTTTACTTCTAGGGGGTCCAAGGCAGCTGCCATGTGGGCCCTGCTGCCCTCAACAACTTTCTCCACCCCTTCCCTTCCCCCATGGGCCCCTGGTGCATCCTGTGGACGCACACTAAGGAGGCCCACAGGATGGCCCATGTACCATGGGCCACCCGATGGGCAATTGTAAGCAGGGGCCCGGTCGTGCGCTGTGGCCCTTTAACAGCAGTCCCTTTGCTTTTTGGCAGCATGGGAGGAAGTGATTGCAGTGAGTCACTTCCTCCCAGAGAGACACGCACGGGAGAGACCACACCAGGGAAGCAGAGAGGAGGGGGGCTGGTTCGGATTGTCAGTTGGCAACCCCCAACAGCCTCAGCCACCACACTGGATACCAGGGAAGCAATCCTTTAAGGTAGGAAACGGGGAGTAGATTTAAAAGAGTGAATGTGTCAGTATGTCTGTCTGTCAGTATGTCTGTGTGTCTGTCAGTGCATGTCTGTGTGTCTCAGTATGTCTGACAGTGTAAGTGTGTCAGTAGCTTGTCTGTCAGTATGTCTGTGTCTGTCAGTGTATGTCTGTGTGTCAGTAGGTTGTCTGTCAGTATATGTGTGTGTCAGTGTATGTGTCAGTATGCCTGTCAGGGTATGTGTGTGTCGGTATGCCTGTCAGGGTATGTGTCAGTATGCCTGTCAGTATGTTTGTGTCTGTGTGTGTCAGTATGTCTGTCAGTGTGTTTGTGTCTGGGTGTGTCAGTATGTCTGTCTGTGTCAGCATGTCTGTCAGTATATATGTGTGTCCAGGGGCAGACTGACAACTTACAGGGCCCGCGGGCAATGGGAGACCAAGGGCCCCCTTCTGGTGCAATGTTTTTTAGATACTGCTACTTTTCTCCCCCTTCTTTGTGATGCATGCTGCCCTGCACCCATAATGGCTGTCTGAGAACCACACAGTCATGATTCCCACACGGTTTTGCTTTTAAGAGGTTAATCCAACCAAAAACAGTGTTTTTATAAAACACTGTTTTTGAAAGGAGTAACCCTGACTGGCATGCTTCGACCCCCCTATTCCCACTAAAATAAACAAATAAAGCCAATATAATTATACGCTTTCTCTGTGTTTGCTGGTGACATCACAAGCAGCGTCCCCCACATTTGTTTTCAATCATACAAGTCCATGTAAGTAGCCTCCAAACATGTGTGTGGGATGCTGCTTGTGATGTTGGGTTCCTGTATGTCAACGTGTTGTATTAGAATTGTTTGTCTTCTTTTACCTATTGTACTGCGCTGCAGAATATGTTGGTGCTATATAAATGGTTTTAAAAATTGCATGTGTGTGGTTTTCCATGTGCGGGGATGCTTCTTGTTGGACTGTGTGCATATAGTGAGGCTCCTGGTGGGTTTGCGTGTCTGTATGAGGCTGTTTGCAGTGTAGTATGTTGGTAGAGACGGCTAGTTGTGTTGCAGTGTGTGGTAGAGGCTGTTGTATGTGTGTGGGATAGGCTGTAGTAGGCGTCTGGGGGATACTGGGGCTGTAGTTTGTGTTTGTATGAATAATAGAGGCTCAACTGTGTAGGGGATATAAAGGCTGCAGTTTGTGTGTGTGGGCAGTGGCTGCAGTGTGTGGGATATGCTGTTTCTGCCAGGCTGCTCCTCCGCTTCAGCCGCTCAGCAGATTCAGGAGGAGAGGAGGAGTTCTGGAAGTGATGTCACTTCCCCTCTCCCAGGCCCCGCCCCCTCACATGGAGCTCCGCACAGAGAGTATGGAGGAGACCTGGCAGCAGCAGGATTGCCGCCAGGTCTCACTCAGTAGGTGAGAGGACACATCGGGGCAACAAATCCTGTGTAACTGTGCCTCTCTGCAGCCAGAGTGAGTGCATGGCTGTTTACCCGGCCGGGCCCCTGACTGCCTCGGGCCCTCGGTCATTGACCAATCTGCCCGAGTGGTCAGTCCACCCCTGCATGTGTGTGTCAGTGTATGTGCTGTGGCAAACCTAGCCACTTGGACTAAACAGAGACAATATGTTTTAAGGGTTGCCTGTATCTTTAATACCATTGTATATGTGCCTGGTTGTAATCTGATGTATGCTGTATTGCCTGTATTGGCTATCTGCCGAAAGCAGATAGTCCTTTTCTATTTCGTTTCACGAACAGCACCTTTGCGAGCCGTTCGTGAACCGAATGAACTATCTTTTAATAGCCCACACACTAAGGGACGTGTGGCGCTTGTTAACCGATTGCAACAATGTTGTAATCGGTAATTAGAGGCTCTCCTAGGTGGCCGCCGTTTGGCTACCGACCACACAGCGGTCGGCCATCTTGGATCCTTTGTTTCCAAGCGGTGTTTGGTCGTCGAGCGCATGGAACTGAAAACGGCTACTCGACGGCGCGAACACCGCTGGGCTTCCAGACCGTTCGGGAGTCCCGGGCCGTTCGGTAGTTTGGTTCACCTCTATCAATCGGTACTTTTAACCTATGTTATAAATAATGTGTTTTTCGTGCGGCGTTCGGTTAGTTTAGCTGGGATCTAAGCGGTATTCTCACGAACTGTGTGGTCAGACCTCAGCTATCTACCAAACGTCCATTCGTGTAAATCGACCAAGTATTAAGGAAGTTATATATGTTAAAGTAAATTGCCGGTTCTGCTGCACGGAGGGATAATCCACTTAACGGTATATTCCAGTGGGAGTATCCCTCTCGTGCAGCAGTGCCTGATGGGAGAAATGCCCAAAATGTGAAGTCCCCCATGTAGTCCCCTACTGTGTTACCCCTGCTAAGGCAGTATGGAAACCCCTTGCATGGGGACTTGTATAAATACTGGAGCTGCAAATAAAAACCTCAGTTGACTCCCAGAACTGTGTTTCGTCCGGTTACTGGGGGATTTGGGATATTGCCTTGCTTTTCAGCGCTGACTGTGGATTACTGTATGTACCAGCGGAATTTGTGGGATTTAATATCGCCGGTCCGCTACATGTGCGTGTCAGTATGTCTGTCTGTGTGTATGTGTCAGTGTGTCTGTGTGTGTGTATGTGTCAGTGTGTCTGTCTTTGTGTATGTGTCAGTGTGTCTGTCTGTGTGTATGTGTCAGTGTGTCTGTCTTTGTGTATGTGTCAGTGTGTCTGTCTTTGTGTATGTGTCTGTGTGTGTATGTGTCAGTGTGTCTGTCTTTGTGTATGTGTCAGTATGTCTGTCTGTGTGTATGTGTCAGTGTGTCTGTACGTGTATATGTCTGTGTAAGTATGTATGTGAAAGGTGCGATTGCATGCCAGGGAGTGAGGGGTGCCCAGGGGGCCCAAGAAAATGCATTGCCCATGCTCCTAGTGATATTAAAGACAGCCCTGCATGTAACCACCTTAGCCCAGGAACTCCACATCCAGCATCTCCACCTCCAAGATCGTCTGAGACCAGCCACCCGCCAGCTGCTGCAACAATCGTTTTGCATAACCAAAGAATTTTTGCACAAACTGTCAGAAACCGTCTCAGGGAAGCTCATCTGCATGAGATACCGTGACGAGATCCTGAGGTCCATTGTTGTGCCATTCATCCACGACCATCACCTCATGTTGCAGCATGATAATGCACGGCCCCGTGTTGCAAGGATCTGTACACAATTCCTGGAAGCTGAAAACATCCCAGTTCTTGCATGGCCAGCATACTCACCGGACATATCACCCACTGAGCATGTTTGGGATGTTCTGGATCAGCGTATACCACAGTGTGTTCCAGGTCCTGCCAATATCCAGCAACTTCGCACAGCCATTGAAGAGGAGTAGACCAACATTCCACAGGCCACAATCAACAACCTGATCAACTCTATGTGAAGGGGATGTGTTGCACTGCGTGAGGCAAATTGCAATCACACCAGATACTGACTGGTTTTCCGACCCCCCCAGACCCTCCCAATACAGTAAAACTGCACATTTTAGAGTGGCCTTTTATTGTGGCCAGCCTAAGGCACACCTGTGCAATAATCATGCTGTCTAATCAGCATCTTGATATGCCACACCTATGAGGTGGATGGATTATCTCAGCAAAGGAGAAGTGCTCACTAACACAGATTTAGACATGTGTGTGAACAAAATTTGAGAGAAATAGGCCTTTTGTGTACATAGAAAAAGTCTTAGATCTTTGAGTTCAGCTCATGAAAAATGGGGGCAAAAACAAAAGTGTTGCTTTTATATGTTTGTTCAGTGTACATATGCAAAAGTGTGGGGTATTCAATTGGATGCGTTAATGTGAGTAGTTTGGGTTATGATTGGATTAGGAATGTGGCTAGGTGGGTGGTTGGATGATAAGTGGCACAAGACTGGGAAAGGATGTGTGTTTGTGTTAAGGCAGCTTCAGGTGTTGCGTTTGTAGGGGGAGGCTGCTTGTGGTGTTGTATGTTTGTGGAGAGTCTGCTTGTGAGATCTCAAAAACGTAGCGCGCATCCGCGTCTATTTAACGCCAGATGCGGCTAAGGTGCTGGTCCATGCTCTTGTTCTCTCTTGCCTTGACTACTGCAATCCCCTTCTCAGTGGTTTTACGCGTTCCCAGATTGCACCGCTGCAATCTATAATGATGAGGCAGCCTGGCTCATTTTCCTGTCTGCTCGCACCTCCCACGCCTCCCCGCTCTGTCAGTCCCTGCATTGGCTTCCAGTTAGATATAGGGCTCAATATAAAATTCTGGTCCTTGCTTACAAGTCCCTATATAATGCTGCTCCAACATACCTATCCTCCCTAATACACAAGTATGTCCCGTCGAGTCCCCTACACTCTGCCAAAGACCTACGTCTATCCTCTGTCCGTACTCCCACCTCTAATGCTCGCCATAAAGACTCCTCCAGGGCTGCACCTCTTCTGTGGAACTCCCTTCCCTTCTCCGTAAGATTTTCACCCAGTCTCCACTCATTCAAAAATCATTGAAAACTCACTTCTTCAAGAAAGCATATCAATTAAACTGTTAGCAGGTTTTTATCCCCCATCTCCAGGACTCCTCTCCTGCAACTGTCAAAAATTACCTACTAAGCCCTCAGTGAATACTTTTCTAACAACCTACTTTGTACCCCTACTTTTACCCTCTGTGTCACTATGCCCCACTCCCTCTAGAATGTAAGCTCATTGAGCAGGGCCCTCCACCTCTCTGTTCCTTTACGTCCAGTTGTCTGGTTACAATTACATGTCTGTTAGTCCACCCATTGTACAGCGCTACAGAATCTGATGGCGCTATATAAATAATAAAATAATAATAATTGTGTTGGACTGGCTGCTTGTTATGTGCATTTCTGATGGTAAGCTGCTTGTGGGATTGTGTGTGTGGGGATGCTGCATGTGAGGTTGTGCAAATGGGAGAGGCTGCTTTTAGGGAGTTTTCAGGGTTGCATTTGTTGGGGAGATGCTGCTTGTGTGGGGGAAAGGATGCTTGTATTGTTGCATGTGTCGGAGGGAAGTTGTTGTGGGGTAATGTGTGTGAATGGGCTGTTGGTAGACTAGTATATGTGTGTGTATGCGTGTAAATAGGGACTGTAGTGTGTGTGCTTGGGAGGATAGGGGCTGTAGTGTGTGTGCTGGGCAGGAGAGGGGCTGTAGTGTGTGTGCTGTGGAGGAGAGGGGCTGTAGTGTGTGTGCTGGGGAGGATAGGGGCTCTAGTGTGTGTGCTGGGGAGGAGAGGGGCTGTAGTGTGTGTGCTGGGGAGGAGAGGGGCTGTAGTGTGCGAATTGGGGAGGATAGGGGCTGTAGTGTGTGTGCCTGGGAGGATAGGGGCTGTAGTGTGTGTGTTGGGGAGGAGAGGGGCTGTAGTGTGTGTGCTGGGGAGGAGAGGGACTGTAGTGTGCGAATTGGGGAGGATAGGGGCTGTAGTGTGTGTGTTGGGGAGGATAGGGGCTGTAGTGAGATAATGACTAAAGTGGGATTATAATGGTCATAGCAGCAGGTATTCTCTAATTTACATTATTATTATTATTTATCAAGCGCCAATAAATTCCACAGGGCAGTACACCCCATGTTGGCAGGATACCCCAGGCTGGCAGGATACCCCATGTTGGCAGGATACCCCAGGCTGGCAGGATACCCCATGTTAGCAGGATACCCCAGGCTGGCAGTATACCCCATGCTGGCAGGATACCCCATGTTGGCAGTACACCCCAGGCTGGCAGTATACCCCAGGCTGGCAGTAAACCCCATGTTGGCAGTACACCCCAGGCTGGCAGTATACCCCATGTTGGCAGGATACCCCAGGCTGGCAGGATACCCCATGTTGGCAGGATACCCCATGTTGGCAGGATACCCCAGGCTGGCAGTAAACCCCATGTTGGCAGTACACCCCAGGCTGGCAGGATACCCCAGGCTGGCAGTATACCCCCATGCTGGCAGTATACCCCATGTTGGCAGTACACCCCAGGCTGGCAGTATACCCCAGGCTGGCAGTAAACCCCATGTTGGCAGTACACCCCAGGCTGGCAGTATACCCCATGTTGGCAGGATACCCCAGGCTGGGCCGGTCTGGGGGCGGTAGGTGGGCAGTCCCGGGCGGTAGGTGGGCAGTGGGGCGGTAGGTGGGCAGTCCCGGGCGGTAGGTGGGCAGTGGGGCGGTCTGGGGGCGGTAGGTGGGCAGTGCCGGGGGCGGTAGGTGGGCCGGTCTGGGTGGCAGTATGTTAGGGCCGGGCTATGAGAAGGCAGGGCCGGGGCTGCAGCTATCTGAGTATCACCCGAGCTGCTCCCACCAACACCGCATCTCACAGAGCCACCGGCACCGGGTCCTACCGGGCAATGTAGGTAATCTCTGCACGGGCACGGCTGCTATATAATAACTGGCATATAATAACTGGCATGGGATGGCTGGTATATAATAACTGGTATATAATAACTGGTATATAATAACTGGCATATAATAACTGGCATGGGATGGCTGGTATATAATAACTGGTATATAATAACTGGTAAATAATAACTGGCATATAATAACTGGCATGGGATGGCTGGTATATAATAACTGGTATATAATAACTGGCATATAATAACTGGCATGGGATGGCTGGTATATAATAACTGGCATATAATGGCTGGTATATAATAACTGGCATATAATAACTGGCATGGGATGGCTGCTATATAATAACTGCTATATAATAACTGGCATGGGATGGCTGGTATATAATAACTGGTATATAATAACTGGCATATAATAACTGACATGGGATGGCTGGTATATAATAACTTTTATATAATAACTGCTATATAATAACTGGCATGGGATGGCTGGTATATAACTGCTATATAATAACTGGTATATAATAACTGGCATGGGATGGCTGGTATATAATAACTGGTATATAATAACTGGTATATAATGGCTGGTATATAATAACTGGTATATAATAACTGGTATATAATGGCTGGTATATAATAACTGGTATAGGATGGCTGGCATATAATAACTGCTATATAACTGGTATATAATGGCTGACATGGGATGGCTGGTATATAATGGCTGCTATATAATAACTGGTATATAATGGCTGGTATATAATGGCTGGCATGGGGTGGCTGCTAAATAATAACTGGTATGTAATGGCGGGCATAGGATGGCTGGTATATAATGGCTGGCATGGGATGGCTGCTATATAATAACTGGTATGTAATGGCTGGCATAGGATGGCTGGTATATAATGGCTGGTATACAATAACTGGTATATAATGGCTGGCATGGGATGGCAGCTTTATAATGGCTGGCATGGGATGGCTGCTATATAATGGCTGGCATGGGATGGCTGGTATATAATAACTGGTATATAATGGCTGGCATGGGGTGGCTGGTATATAATAACTGGTATATAATGGCTGGCATGGGATGGCTGGTAAATAATAACTGGTATACAATGGCTGGCATGGGATGGCTGGTAAATAATGGCTGGCATGGGATGGCTGGTATATAATAACTGGTATACAATGGCTGGCATGGGATGGCTGGTAAATAATGGCTGGCATGGGATGGCTGGTATATAATGGCTGGTATATAATGGCTGGCATGGGATGGCTGGTATATAATGGCTGGCATGTGATGGCTGGGATATAATAACTGGTATATAATGGCTGGCATGGGATGGCTGGTATATAATGGCTGGCATGGGATGGCTGGTATATAACTGGTGACTGGCATGGGATGGCTGGTATATAATTGGTATAGAATGGCTGGCATGGGATGACTGGTATATAATGGCTGGCATGGGATGGCTGGTGTATAATAACTGGTATATAATGGCTGGTATATAATAACTGGTATAGGATGGCTGGCATATAATAACTGCTATATAACTGGTATATAATGGCTGACATGGGATGGCTGGTATATAATGGCTGCTATATAATAACTGGTATATAATGGCTGGTATATAATGGCTGGCATGGGGTGGCTGCTAAATAATAACTGGTATGTAATGGCGGGCATAGGATGGCTGGTATATAATGGCTGGCATGGGATGGCTGCTATATAATAACTGGTATGTAATGGCTGGCATAGGATGGCTGGTATATAATGGCTGGTATACAATAACTGGTATATAATGGCTGGCATGGGATGGCGGCTTTATAATGGCTGGCATGGGATGGCTGCTATATAATGGCTGGCATGGGATGGCTGGTATATAATAACTGGTATATAATGGCTGGCATGGGATGGCTGGTATATAATAACTGGTATATAAATGGCTGCATGGGATGGCTGGTAACAATAACTGGTATACAAATGGCTGGCATGGGATGGCTGGTAAATAATGGCTGGCATGGGATGGCTGGTATATAATAAATTGTATACAATGGCTTGGTATGGGATGGCTGGTAACAATGGCTGGCATGGGATGGTCAGTATATAAATGGCTGGTATAGGATGGCTGGTATATACCGGCTGGCATGGATGGCTGGTAACAATGGCTGGCATGGGATGGCTGGTATATAATGGCTGGTATAGGATGTATTTATATATAATGCATGGCATGGATGCATACTGGTATATAAATGGCTTGGCATGGATGCATTGGTATAACTGGTGACTGGTACGGGATGGCTGGTATATAACTACATAGAATGGCTGGCATGGGATTTTTATTCGCGGCGCAATTGGCTGGCATGGATGCATGGTATAATAACTGGTATATAAATGGCTGGTATGATTTATTGGTATATACTATTGGCATAGGATGGCTGGTATATAATGGCTGGCATGGGATGGCTGGCATATAATGGCTGGCATGGGACGGCTGCTATATAATGGCTGGCATGGATGGCTGCTATATAATGGCTGGCATGGGATGGCTGCTATATAATGGCTGGCATGGGACGGCTGGTATATAATGGCTGGCATAGGATGGCTGGTATATAATGGCTGGCATGGGATGGCTGCTATATAATGGCTGGCATGGGACGGCTGGTATATAATGGCTGGCATGGGATGACTGGTATATAATGGCTGGCATGGGATATTATAGGATGGCATGTATAGGATAACTGTCATGAAAAGACTGCTATAATATGGCTGATATATTGTGGATTGTATGGGGTGGCATAGGATGGCTAGTATGGGATGGAATAGGACGGTTGGTATGTAATGGCTGGTATGGGGTGGTTGTTGTGGGATAGCATAGGATGGTTGGTATATACAGGCTGGCATGGGATGGCATATGAATGAATAGAATGGCTAACATGGAAAGACTGCTGTAAGATGGCTGGTATGTGGTGGCTTGTATAGGATGGCATGGCTAGTATAGCATAGTTGGTATAGGATGACTGGTATGGGAAGGCTGTATAGGATGGCTGGTATGTGATACATGGCTGGTATGTGGTGCATGGCTGGTATAGGATGGCTGGTATGTGATGCATGGGTGGTATGGGATGGCTGGTATGTGATGCATTGCTGGTATGTGATGCATGGCTGGTATAGAATGGCTGGTATGTGATGCATGGCTGGTATAAGATGGCTGGTATAGGATGGCTAGTATGTGATACATGGCTGGTATAGGATGGCTGGTATGTGATACATGGCTGGTATAGGATGGCTAGTATGTGATACATGGCTGGTATAGGATGGCTAGTATGTGATGCATGGCTGGTATGGGATGGTTGGTATGTGATGCATGGCTGGTATAAGATGGCTAGTATGTGATGCATGGCTGGTATAGGATGGCTGGTATGTGACGCATGGGTGGTATAGGATGGCTGGTATGTGATGCATGGCTGGTATAGGGTGGCTGGTATGTGATGCATGGCTGGTATAAGATGGCTAGTATGTGATGCATGGGTGGTATAGGATGGCTGGGATGTGATGCATGGCTGGTATGGGGTGGCTGGTATGTGATGCATGGCTGGTATAAGATGGCTAGTATGTGATGCATGGGTGGTATAGGATGGCTGGTATGTGATGCATGGCTGGTATGGGATGGTTGGTATAGGATTGCTGGCAGGGGATGACTGGTATAATAATAATAATAATAATAATAATAATAATAATAACAACACGTTATTACACAAGGGCTGATGCTATGGACAGTAGGAAATCTTATATAATAACATTCATTATTACACTTGTTATAGGGCTGCTCATATAATAACATGCATGATTATACCAGAGCTGTTACTACTGACAGTAGAACATCTATACGCTAACAGGCATTAATAAAGTGGAGCTGATAATATGGGCAACAGGAAATTTCTCATTATAACTTACATTATTACACATGTGCTGATAGTATGGGCAATATGAAATGTTATATGATAGCACACAGTATTACCTCATAACACATTATTACCCTGGGGGGGGGGGGGAGTTGATACTATGGACAAGCAGTAGGAGATATATCATATAATAACACATGTTCACACTGCAGATGTTACTCTGGGCAGTAGGAGATCTTATATAATAACATGCATTATTAGTATGATGATCTTACCATGGGCTATAAGAGATATTTAATAATGCACATTATTACATTACAGGGATAAACAATAAGAGATCTTGTATAATGTGCATTATTTCACACCGGGGCTGTTATTATGGCACACTAGGAGATCTCATGCATGCATTATTAAATTGGGGCGGTTACTGTGGGCACACAGTAGGAGATCTCATACAATAACGTACATTATTACATCAAGGTTGTTACTACAGTGAGGTGAGCAGATTAAAATACATATATATCGGTGTCTGATTTTCAAATCACACTTATATGAAAGCAAGATTTGATCATAGAGAGTATAAATAAATATATTGAAGAATTGTGTGAACATAACATGCTCTTATAAGGTCCAGATGGCTCTAGAGTCACAAACATGGTGTGATTCTAGACTGCATATTCCTTGAAAGATGCTATGTGAATTCAGCCAAGGAAAAGGATTATCTCCACTTGAACAGATGGACACATAATAACAGTACTTGCAACAAATCTATAATTGCTGTATACTTTATTTGTATGTAAAGCAAAGTAGCAGATGTAGGTATTATAGCATCTGATGTGTAAGAATATTCTAACCTTTTGGGGAGTTTATTTGTGGAACTTGATAAGTGTTATTTTGCCAGATATAACTGTAAAGCATATACAATGCCTAGATTTAGTCTACAATGGTATTGTTACCTTAAAGGGACATGCATAGTTTTGAGAATGTTGTCTCGTTGAAAGCCTTAGCTTTGAATAAGGTTGTTGCCTCACTCTGCAGGCTGAAAAAATAAAATAATATGATTTATTTTTTTATGATTACCTTCTTCTTTTTGATACTTTCCACATCATCTCCAAGGGTAAACCTGATCTAACCAATCAGTTATCTATCCCTAAGAATGCTGGAAAAGGGCATTGGGCGTGCCTGACAGATTTACACATGTGCAGTTGGAAGATTTGTTCACCTTGCAACAGGGGGGGAATATAGGGAGTCTGGTGAGTGTGATCATGCAGAGCAGGCTTTGATGTTGGATTTCTCTCTCCTGCACAATCATACCCTGTTTCTGTCACTAGCAGACTGGTCTGAAACTGAGATGGGCAGGTAAGCTGGAGGGGGAGGCTGAGCAAACTCCCCTAGATGAGAGGCATGTCCAATAATACAATGTGTCCAAGTTCACAGAAAGTTTGTAACTGTTACTTTTGAAAGGTTTTGTATTTGTTTGTTTTTGGGTTATTGTTTGTTTTGCTTAATTTTGGGTTTTATATTTGTTTAATAGTATTTGCTTGCTGGTTTAAATATATAATTGTCAGGTGTTGCCTGTCCTTTTAACCCTATTTTGCCATCCTCCTGATTTCCAAGTATGTTGTGAGGTAGAGGAACAGTGCTCCCAGCTGTGTGTGGAATTTGTATGTTAACAGATGAAATCAGTTGATTGATCAATCATCAGTCAATTCGCTGTGGTTCCTTTGGGATACGTTTCATAATTAATTACCTTGAGCCATTAATTTAATGTTAATTCTACACAATGCTATATATAACCCATGTTGGCAGTATACCCCAGGTTGGCAGGATACCCCAGGCTGGCAGGATACCCCAGGCTGACAGTACACCCCAGGTTGGCAGTATACCCCATGTTGGCAGTATACCCCATGTTGGCAGTATACCCCAGGTTGGTAGTATACCCCAGGTTGGCAGGATACCCCAGGCTGACAGTATAACCCATGTTGGCAGTACACCCCAGGCTGGCAGTACACCCCAGGTTGGCAGGATACCCCAGGCTGACAGTATAACCCAGGTTGGCAGGATATCCCAGGCTGGCAGTACCCCCCAGGCTGGCAGTACCCCCCAGGCTGGCAGGATACCCCAGGCTGGCAGAATACCCCATGTTGGCAGTATACCCCAGGTTGGCAGTATACCCCAGGTTGGCAGGATACCCCATGTTAGCAGTACACCCCAGGATGGCAGTACACCCTAGGCTGTACCATTCTTTACAATTCTTTCTAACATTCCTGTATATATCCAGATAATCTGTGGGTAAAGAGGGCTGTCCACGTGTTGTTAAATAAGGCTGTAATAATGTGGGCATGGAAGGATAAATAGGAGTGTTACTGGAACTTAGAATGGCCAGAGTTAACTCCAGTACGAATTGGCAGTACACCCGAGGCTGGCAGGATACCCCAGGCTGGCAGCAGGGCCGGACTGGGAATGAAAAGCAGCCCTGGAAAAAAATTCTATACCAGCCCAATAATGCGTTGCGCCAACATAGTGTGCAGATATGGAAGCGGGAAATATTCTGTGTCTCTCACACATATACTGAAGGCTGGCAGTGCACCCAGGCTAGCAGTATAACCCATGTACACCCCATGTTGGCGGTACACCCCATGTTGGAAGTATACCCCAGGCTGGCAGTATACCCGAGGTTGGCAGGACACCCCAGGTTGGAAAGCATCATAAAGAAGAAGGTTTATTCTACACAATGCTGGGTACCACTTTTGTGCACTTTTAACAGCTTGTTAAACCCATTACTGTCACTAAAATCATGACTAGGAACTCAACAAACCGGTGGATATGGGTAAGCCATAATTGTAGAAAGACAAATTTAACCCGTCTATGTGGGAACCAATAAAGTGTTGTACCAAATTTGAAGAAATGGTTTAATAAAGTAAAGAAGATGCAGTCTTTAATTAGGACCCATAGTCCATACAGGGATAAACTCTCGGGAGGTGTCCTCTAGCTCCCCAGTAGTAAACTTTAAATAGGATGTTGACATAAAACATAGCTCAAACAATGGCCAATCCAGACATTTTCTTTTGGAAGCAGAGAATAGCATCCATTTATCATTTGTTAATCTCTCAGAGAATTCTTATTGGCAATAGCAACTGAGTATAACATAATACGAAAGCAACGTTTCAGATATTACACTGTTCTTTACCACATTGCATTTAATGTGCAAATTCCTAAACAATGGAACTCTGATAAAGTTTTTTTTCATTCAGTGTAACAGTTACCTTGTAAACCTAACGCTCGGACACATTCGCTGTTTGTTCAGTGAAGGTAAACGTGAAACACATCTCTTGGCAGTTTTGCTAATCGGCTTTATTCTATTTTTATCCGTAGGTCAGTTCGCATCGTCTGGCTGGGGGATGACCGAGATAGGCCGTGTGAAGATCCTGCAAGGGAAGACCTAGTCCCATTTTACCTTGGAAGAAGAGCTGTGGGTTTACAGACTGAGAACAGACATCCAGTCTTCACCATTTACCAAGCCAGGGTTTTGGGGGATATCCAGATCATGTGTCATGAGTGTCTTGGATGGGTGAGATGTTTTTTATTCACTCAGATTGATTGAAGTAGTACTTAAACTGCACTGTCTCAGATATTATTATTAATATTAGTGACATTTATATAGCGCCAACACATTCCGTAGCGCTTTACAATATTATGAGAGGGGGATTTAACTATAAATAGGACAATTACCAGAAAACTTACAGGAACAATAGGTTGAAGAGGTCCCTGCTCAAACGAGCTTACAGTCTATTAGAGGTGGGGTATATGACACGTTAGGACAGGAAAAACCAATCAAATAAGGTGGGAGTGAAGCAGAGCTGGAGGAGAGAGTAGAGTGCTGCCCTTTAGGAGAGAGCAAGAGACAGTTAGGTTTCAGTTGGTGTGTATGGCATCATTTACTGTTAAAGGAGTATTGATTTACTATTATAATGTTCTAGATCACCTACTGAGTACAGAATTATAAACCACTTAGGAAATAACCACTAGCTGTTCTGTAATAGCCCAACACCTAAGGCCATTAATCATGGGAAGTGTAGTTCAGGGTTATCTTTGGATGCCAGGGTTTACACATCCCATCCTCCTCCTTACTATAGATTTTTATTTCTCCCCCTTAGCTCCTTATCGAGTCTTTTCTCCTCCTCCCCTTCCCCCACACACTCCCTTTGCCCTATTTCTTGGTTACATGAAGTGGGGAGATTATCAGAGATGGGGGATTTAGTACCATAGCAGAGAGGTATATCTTGCTGTTTGGACCCTCCCCACCCCCCTCCAGATCTCTAAAGATCATCGTTCATGTTCTGCTGTCCAAAAGCATCTGTAAATGTAGAGTACAGAGATATGACTCATATCCCAAACATTCCTTTAGTAGAATTACCATTCTTCACAATTCTTTCTAACATTCCTTTATATACCCAGATAATCTGTGGGTAAAGAGGGCTGTCCACGTGTTGTTAAATAAGGCTGTCATAATGTGGGCATGGAAGGATAAATAGGAGTGTTACTGGAACCTAGAATGGCCAGAGTTAACTCCAGTACGAACCGGAAATATCAGTGCTAGTATTAAAGGAACACTAACATGCATTACAAATACAAACATGTATTCCTAATGCTATAGTGCTCCCCTACCCTTGTAGATGTCCCCTCCCCCGTAAGGGTTTGATAGGTAAGAATTACTTACCTTTCTTCCTTTGCAGCGCTGGTCCCGCCACAGCCTCTCCTCCTCTCTGGCTGAGATCTTCAAAATGAAGGATCTCCCCATAGAGAAACATTGGGAGGCTAGTCCACTTGCACAACAAATTACCCCTCTGTGCCAATCAAATGCTGCTTTAGGAGCAAACTTTTACATTCCACGGTAAAATCAAAGGTCTGCTGCACCCAGAGTACTTCATTAAAATAAAGTCCTTTAGCCAAAATCTCATGCCAAGGTGTAGACAGAACTATAATACAATAGACTATATGCTAAGAGCTGGAACACTGTACAATAGAACAATGGGGCAAGGTCAATGGCCGTTTCTGGAATGCAGGAATACTTACGAACTGGTACAATGGGCAAGGCAAAATCAGAGTCACAAACAAACAGGGTCTGGTGTACTGGAATAGGAATCGGGGTCAGAGCAACATGCTTAAGACCCTGAAACCACCAGAAGGCACTGTCCAAAAGGCAAAAGGTTTTTATATATACCAGACACTTGTATCTAATTGCATTGGTTGCGCCATGTAGGACGCCATGGAATTAAAACAAAGGTGCGAAGATCATGGCTCTCGTCACTTTAGGATGGGTGATGTTCCGAATTATGAGAGTATGCGACCTAATAAGAATCTTCACTGCAGGGGACCTCAGTGCCACAAAACGTAGTTTAATGCATGATGGGTAACACAAGACCACAGCAGAGAGCTCAAATCTAGGACAGGTAGCTCAGTGCAACAGCAGGCACTCAATTCAACTGACCTTCTACTGTTACCATGGGCTGCTGTCAAAAGAATCAGCTATAAATTTTGCAAAAACAACACATTTAGGGTTAAATTGAAAGCAGAACTGTTACATTTAGGCTAAAATAGCCTAGCTGCAAGGTAGATTTATTTTCCAGAGGAGGTGTTTATAGCTAACATTTTGCAATTTATCATTTAATTCAGTGTTTAATTAATAAATCTGTTTCTGATGACCGTAGGTTGAGAGTAAAGCAACAGCTGTACAACACTGAGATGTAGATCTTCTACTTGCTGCGCTATTTAAGCATGATATGATAATACCGTGTTTTGATGATTGATGCAATTCACACACAATGCCTTGAATGAATCGTTTGTCTGAGCCCACTGTTTACAGAAGCAGAGTGGAATGAGTCCAACAATTACTTTCTGACGTGATCAACTACTTGATTTCTCTTTGCAAATTATTTAAGCTGTCATCCCATACCGATTGCGGTCCATGAGCTCAGCAATTTTACCAATGACAGAACAGGAATAAAATGCATTCATTTGTGAGAATGTATTTTTTTTTTCTGTTTTGACAAGTATTCCTACAATGATATGGTTACAAAAACAGGTTAAATATTCACTTTGTGTTTCTAGAACAAAGTTTGAATCTGAAAATCTGTTCGATTTGCACCATTAGTTTTATTTAAAGGAGCATTCATGTTTTTGAAGTAGAGTGTTTTCTAATATGGTCTCAAAAACAAAACAAAAAAAGAGTTCAGAGAAGGGCTACTAAACTGGTTCATGGATTGCCGGATAAAACTTACCAGGAAAGGTTAAAGGATCTTAACATGTATAGCTTGGAGGAAAGACGAGACAGGGGGGATATGATAGAAACATTTAAATACATAAAGGGAATCAACACAGTAAATGAGGAGACCATATTTAGAATAAGAAAAACTACCACAACAAGAGGACATAGTCTTAAATTAGAGGGGCAAAGGTTTAAAAAAAATATCACTTTACTGAGAGGGTAGTGGACACATGGAATAGCCTTCCAGCTGAAGTGGTAGAGGTTAACACAGTGAGGGAGTTTAAGCATGCGTGGGATAGGCATAAGGCTATCTTAGACTTAAGATAAGGCCAGGGACTAATGTAAGTATTTAAGAATTGGGCAGACTAGATGGGCCAAATGGTTATCATCTACCATCACAGTCTATGTTTCAAAACAGTTTATTTGAGAGAGCGCTCTGTATATACTCTTAATGACCAAACATAAGCATGTACCAGAATCAGTTTCCAAAATTATATATTTTAAATTTAAAATGGAAATAGTTTCCTTGCTGTGGAAACGCTCAGATCTCACAAGAGGATGGCTAGTGCTCCCCGGTTCCTCTCCTGCCTTTGATCTCCCCACCGGCTTAGAGCAGAGCCGGTGATCGGATAGCGCCAGCTCTGCATGAGCCGACAGGGGAGATCCTAAGATCTCCCCTGCCGCTCTCACTCCAGAAGCGTGCTGTGGGGAGGGGTGTGCCCAGGCACACCCGGCACACCCCATGCACACCCTATGCACGGAGCGCTGATGCTCTGCAATAAGATTATGATGTAAAATAGTGATGTGAGACAGGTTTCAAGCATTGTAAAATAAGATTATGAGAGTTAGAATTTATGATGGAGGCCCAACTCATTTCTAGTAATTTGATCCCAAGACTATTGATTTTAGCCCTGTATACTGATTTATTGCCAGATTAAACAAACCACGTAATCATGCAGATATTATACAGCCTGTTAACATCATTTTAATCTGTTAAATCCTAGTAATGCTAATGCTGGAACTTTTGTCTAGTCTAATTTTGTTTTATTTATTTTTTTATTTTTTTTAAATACGTCTGTATGTTAAGAAATTACTGTTGCACATTACCTACAAACCACAATTTGGACATTGGAAAGTCTACTTTATGCAATTATCCCAGAATTCCCAGCTTAACATGATGCCGGTCTATGATCATTTACATGTTGGGCTGGGAATTCTAGGATCATTGTGGAAACGATATTTCTTGGAATTACATGCCCAAATTGGACTTTTCCATGTTCCAACATGAGAAATGTGTGTGTATGCCTTGAATTTATTTTCTGGCATCTGTTAATGTTTCCCTATTTTTCTGTTTTTTGCTCAGAACATTTTTAATGGTGACCAGTGTTCTCAGTATGTAGTTGGGGAAGCGGACATCATCATATTAAAATACTCTGTCAGTGAAAAGCTTTCATTCCTTGATATAAAGGACAATTTCGCTCCATTGGTGAAACAGAAATCCCATCATCGCTTTATTCCTGTGATTATTGCCGCAGTTGGAGCAGCACACAACAGTAAGCATTGGATCACAATTGAATCATTTGTATTTGTGCGTTATTTGTATCAATATAATTTATTAAAATTGTTATGTAATCTAATCTAGAGCGTTACCCCTAATCCATGTTACTCAATTTTAAACTCAGCAGTAGGTTTAGTAGACCATGAGCTGTTGAACAAGTTAGAAACATAGAATGTGACGGCAGATAAGAACCATTCGGCCCATCTAGTCTGCCCAATATTTCGAAATACTTTCATTAGTCCCTGCCTTATCTTAAGTCTAGGATAGCCTTGTGCCTATCCCACGCATGCTGAAACTCCCTCACCTCTACCACTTCAGCTGGAAGCCTATTCCATGCATCCACTACCCTCTCAGTAAAGTAATACTTCCTGATATTATTTTTAAACCTTTGCCCCTCTAATTTAAGACTATGTCCTCTTGTTGTGGTAGTTTTTCTTCTTTTAAATATAGTCTCCTCCTTTACTGTGTTGATTCCCTTTATATATTTAAATGTTTCTATCATATCCCCCTGTTTGCAAAATATAGGTCACATTTTTGCCTTATCAACTATTTTGTAAAATACTTTATATGTACATGTAGATGTTGATTATTGGGTCGCTCTAAGCCCCATAGCAAATCGTTGCAAAGGTTATACCCTGCCCCCAGTCTCCCTGCTGAGAGTGACATGTAACTGCAGCAATTTGCAAAAGTCTCTGCCACCATAAAACTTCATTTTTTTTACTCCTATGTGAGATTCATCCAACTTGCGTACATGCACAGCTAGAGTGGACACCTCTCTGCTGTAATTGAGAGATAACAGCACACAACTTGGTTCACAAAACTAATCAGAACCATATGGATGCAGCCAACTCGCTGACTGATTCTAATCATCCTGTATGGTGAGTTGAACTGTGACTGGTGGATAAACGACTCATTCTGGACAGAGATTTATGGAAAAAGATCAGATAAGCCTACTTCTAAGCAAAATGAAGTTACAAAGTTTAATTAATTGTACGGTGGGAACCCCAATTTTAATGCTGGAAAAAAACTTTTTTTTTAATAATTTTAGGGTTGATTTTAACCTATTAAATGGCTGGAAATCAAAGTGTCCAAGGCTTAAGTTAACGTGGCACACTGATTGAAAGCTAGTGATCTATTTAAAGGGTCACTCCCGACCCCTAAAGAACTTTAGCTGGCAGAAAAGCTTTATGTTTGTCCTAATTTATTCATTTTTCATAAAGTGCAGATTTCAATAATCAGTCAATTCAGCGTGGTTCCTTTGGGATCCGTTTCATGATTAATTACCTCGAGCCATTAATTTAATGTTAATTCTACACAATGCTGGGTAGCACTTTTTATGTAAATTCAACAGCTTGTTAAACCCATTACTGTCACTAAGATCATGACTAAGAACTGAAAAAACTGGTGGAAGTGAATAAAACATAATTATAGAGGAGAAAAAAAAATCTCATATTGAACCCGTCTTTATGGGAACCAATAGAATGTTATCTCAACTTTGAGTGGTTTAGTAAAATTAAGAAGATGCAGTCTTTAATTAGGACCCATATTCAGTACGATATCAGGGCATACACCAGGGCTCAACTCTCAGAATGGGGTCTCTAGCTCCCCAGTAGACTTGGGCATTCGTATGAATGGAGTTTCGTACGAAAATCTGCATTTTTGTCAATTCGTACGAATACCGAATGGCTAGACAAACACATTAACGAACAAACAAATGGGCGTCCAAAGAAATTCTTCCATGAGCCTTTCGTTTGTTCGTTCATTTGGATTTTTGTATTACACTCCCCAGAAGTAAACTGTAAATAAGATGTTGACAGAAAGCAATAAAGCTCAAACAATAGCCAATCCAGAACTCAGACATTTAAACAGTGATATTTCGTTTATATTTGTGCAACGGAGTGTCCCTTTAATGCATTAAAAATTCATACCACGTGTGCCCTTTTAATGCTTAGGACAGACAAACAGCAAAATAACAGATTCTAGCATATGGATAATTTAACAGGTGAGGTAAAATCTGTATTACAATAGCTAATGTCAGTACAAAACCTTAGTAAACAGTGTTTTACTTCGTTTTATCTATGGTTCAGATCTACTATAAACAATACAATACCAAACAATACATGGATGACTGCTCTATCCCCGAGTCCACTCAATGTACAAACTTTCTCATTTTATCCCTTTGTGCTACTAACATAAAAGCAAAGCCTGCTCTTTGTGTAATGATTTGTGAAGGCCTTTTTTGCTGGGCCAAGCACACGAGCCCTTATTTCCGTCTACACTACTAATATCTAAAAGATGGGATGTGCCAACATCCTCCTCGAGAGGGAATTTTCAGGTTGATAAAAACCTAGTGCTGAAAACTTATATTGGCTATGATGCTTGGCAGTACAGATAGATCTATTTTATGTTAAATTATTATTATTTATAAAGCACCAACAAGTTCAGTAGCGCTGTACAATGGGTGGACTAACAGACGCGTAACCAGACGAGTTGGACGCACAGGAATAAAGGGATTGAGGGCCCTGCTCAATGAGCTTACATGCTAGAGGGAGTGGGGTATTGTGACACAGAAGGTGAGAGTATGATAAAAAGGTAGGTTGTTAGGATAGTATTCACTGGGGGCTTAGTGTTTTGTTTTGATGACAGTTGCTGGAGAGGAATCAGGGTGCGGAGAGGGAAAGTTTTTATTTGTAGATAAAATACAAATGTAACAAACAAATGTATTGGTTATGATTACTCTATATAATTTTATATAACAATACTTTAGTGATACAAATAATGGTCCGCTACATAATATCCAGACAAAGAACAAACCGTAATGAATTTCTGAATTCTGAATATAGCTTGGAAAATTCCTAAAGAAACCGTGTGTTTTTGTTTTGTTTATTTTTTTTTAGATGGTCCGTCCTGCACATGTCCTCAGTGCACGTCGGACAGGGGGATTTGCGTTACTACTTCTGAAGGAATTCAGCTTGCCAAGGACCTGGCAGCCACTTTCCTGGAGCTGCATGCGGTCAATGACTTCTATGTTGGAATGTACTTTGGAGGAATGGTACGTGCGTGTTCTCAATTGCATCTAATTATATTTATTGTTTGCAATGTCGCTTGTGCAGGTGCTTGTGCACACACGGTTCTTGGAGCTGAAAGCATTTTAGATTTGATTCTGTTACCATTATCACGGTATTGCCATTAGTTTAAATAATATAGGAAAAGGACTCCACCTGACTCGCTCTCTGAACACACATTAAACTCATTTGTTAATGTTATCAACCAACAATGTCATTTATTGACAGTCAGAGAAAACAACTAAACTGATGCTCTGATAATTACCATTGGAATCTGTTTTCTAAAACACGAGCATTGATTTGGGAGAAAAGGTATCTTTAAGGCAATTCAATTTTAACTTGAATTTTACAATGTGTAACTATACACTGTGATAAATGTTTACATTCGGTCTTTTTATTAATATTATTTTTGTTGCATAATCTACAATATTAAAAAGGTGAAATTAAGCAGCAGGTAATTAATAAATTACCTATATTCCATATTCTGGGATAGACTTGTATCGTCAAAATAAGAATACACTCTTACAATACAGGGAGTGTGTTGGTGCCACTTCACCAAATGTCCAGTGTTTTTAGAGCGTGCCGGGCCACCAGTGGACAAATAATGCTTAAGTAACTATTCCGCACTATCCAAAGAGCTGCAGAGGGGCCAGAATTTGGATATCAATTATCTGTAGTTATTATGTTGCTTAGAGTGCCACTTTAATTTAGCCACATGTACAGTAGGGGGTTAATAGCTATTTATATGTATATACTTCCATGAATACACCTCCAACTGCCCTTTTATGACCACTAGAGAATAATCATTTACAGAATAAGTTTCTACAGCAACTGCACTCGTGATAACTATTGGCCCTGTGATAAACTTTGACTTGGACTTAGCCCTTTGCTTTAATTAAGACATGAAGAAGTTTCTTGTATTCAATATCTGTAGTCATAAACGTTATGACATTGCTTAAGGTTTTCAGTTGTTTTTTTTGTTTTGTTTTTTAAATAAAGGGTAACCTACCATTGATCTACATCGGGCTTCCCCAAACTCCGGCCCTCCAGATGTTGCCAAACTACAACTCCCATGATTCTATGGATGAAATAGATAGGCTGAGAATCATGGAAGTTGTAGTTCAGCAACATCTGGAGGGCCGGAGTTTGGGGAAGCCTGATCAACATGATAGTCTTAACAGGCATAACTATTGTTCCATATTCCGATACACTGTGAATCACCTAGTTCTACAGTCACCCCCATACAACATTTTGGTTAAAATGGGTATAAAGATACTAGTTATTGGTGTGAAGGTATAGCTGCTTGTCCAGCCTGTAATACTTTGTCTGACAGTCTAGTTGGTCTGACCCTCGTTAACATGATACGTAACATCACCAGTATGTCTATCGTCTTTATAAATGGTAGGATATTACATAGTGCCATGGTACATGTATCTGACATTTCTGGAAAATAAAATCTGAATAATGTTTTGTTTGAACATCAATTCTACCCAAGTTTGGATGGGATTCATTGGCTGACTCCACCAGCTGGCATTTTCAGCCATTGACTTATGTACAAATAGTGACTAAAATTATATATCTAATGTAGAAGTATGGACTTCCTCTTTAGCTACATCTGAAGATGGGGCGGGGGGACAGGTCCTGGGGGAACTCCTGCAGTGGTTATGGTGCTGGTTAGGTATGGTACCTAGAATGCATAATAATCATCTTCAGGATAGATGGCTTCACTGTAGGCAAATATTGAGTACCACCTCTGTGTACATGTGTGAGTGGGTGTGTGTCTGACAGTGTATTTTGGTGTCTGTGTGAGTGTGTATATATGTCTCAGACATTGTGTACCTGTGTGTCTGAGAATGTGTGGCAGCAGTGAATATCTGTGTGTGTTTGTTTTTTCTGTGGCAGTTGTATCAGTGAGTGTGTTGTGCCTGGAATATCTTTGTATATGTATGTGTGTGCATGAACGTGTGTATTTGAGTGCTTGTATCAGTGTGTGTGTCCAAAGAAGCAATATGGCTGCAATGTGGGTGGTATGGGCAACATCATAGCATTGTGACAACTATAATACATATAGATTGACTGAACACTGTTTACATGCTTTTAACTTCATTATTTGGTAAATTATTTATTTTTTAAGTTTTTCTGTCCAATTAAAGTTTTCGTTATTATTTCCATTTAATAATGTGCTATCTACACATAGTGAAACGAAAAATACATTTAAACATTACTTCCCAGGATGCACAAATGACTTGGATTGTGAAGTGTTTTTTTTTTGCAAACCGCTTGGTAATGAAGGGGTTAAATGTTCTGCCCCTGATAATTGCAGCTTTACTCGGGTTTCAAAACGAAAATTCTCTTTGCCCTGACCAGCTCATTTTAATGTTGTATTAAAGGAACACTATAGTCACCTAAATTACTTTAGCTAAATAAAGCAGTTTTAGTGTATAGATCATTCCCCTGCAACTTCACTGCTCAATTCACTGTCATTTAGGAGTTAAATCACTTTGTTTCTGTTTATGCAGCCCTAGCCACACCTCCCCTGGCTATGATTGACAGAGCCTGCGTGAAAAAAAAAATCTGGTTTCACTTTCAAACAGGTGTAATTTACCTTAAATATTTGTATCTCAATCTCTAAATTGAACTTTAATCACATACAGGAGGCTCTTGCAGGGTCTAGCAAGCTATTAACATAGCAGGGGATAAGAAAATCTTAATTAAACAGAACTTGCAATAAAGAAAGCCTAAATAGGGCTCTCTTTACAGGAAGTGTTTATGGAAGGCTGTGCAAGTCACATGCAGGGAGGTGTGACTAGGGTTCATAAACAAAGGGATTTAACTCCTAAATGGCAGAGGATTGAGCGGTGAGGCTGCAGGGGCATGTTCTATACACCAAAACTGCTTCATTAAGCTAAAGTTGTTCGGGTGACTATAGTGTCCCTTTAAGTGTTTAATCTACCTGTCACTTGCCTTTGTTTTTTTCTAAATGTATTTATTTTCTTATTCTTGAAATGAGATACTATATCTAGAAAGCTCCCTGCGCTGTGATTTTTAACATGAAAAGTGCCTTAATAGCTAACTTCAATAATCTATATGTAGTTTACCAGGCACCAGTTTCTTTCTAGAGAAGAGTTCAATTCTGTTAGCACAGGGCTTATTAAAATCTCCTGTAGGACAAAGAGCGCTGATTACTTATATAACGAGAGTGTCAATGGGTGCTGCAGTCATTTGTTTGGTAAATGAGTGAAGGACATGATTTTTTATTTATTTTTTATAAAACAAAGTCCAAAGGAGTTTTATTTCTTCCTTCTGCTTTTATAAGAACTCATTTGAGCATGATTATCACCTCTTTCTGATATTTGCCCAAACCTCTTTTTCCTGCAGAATATGTTGTCAGAATGATTTATATATCATACAATGTTATTATTATATTGTTAGCATGTTAAAAGGTACATTTGCAGGAATAGCTTCTGAGCTTCATAAACCACTTCAAAAAGCTGAAATTGTTTTGGTGCCTATACTTTTCCTTTAAGGTCAAATTAGCCAAATTGGAAGCATAGCTGACTTAGATAATGTTTTGGGTTTTTTTTTCATCTTGAATTTGAAATTTATTTTGGATTCATTTGGAATTCTCACTTTAGACCAACATTTCCCAATTGGTGTTCTGCGGAACCCTAGGGTTCCGTGAAACACTAATTGAGGTTCCACCTAAAAATGTGAAAATAAAATGGCCGCGGGCAGCAAGGGAGCAGTGAGCAGTGATCTCCCTGCTCAGCTCCCTCGCACAGCAGTGGTGCTGGAGCCGGAATATGACGTCACTCCGGCATCACTAAGAGGCGTGCGAGGGAGCTGAGCAGGGAGATCACTGCTCCCTCGCCAGCCGCTCAGCAGCCCCACTGGTAGGTGACGCTACTTGGGTGATTTGGATTGGAACTCAAATGCAGCTCAGCTCCCTCACGCGCCGCAGAGTGAGGCTGGGAGCCGGAATATGATGCCCGCAGCCACTGGACCACCAGGGAGATAGAGACTCTCCCCCCACCAAAGGTAAGGAGGGGGGGGTAAATAAAAAAATAAAACATGTGTTAATGTGAGTGTGTGTGTGTGTCTGTTAATGTGTGTGTGTCTGACTGTGTGAGTGTGTTTGCTAGTGAGTTAGTGTGTCTGACTGTGTGTGTCTGTTAGTGTGTGTGTCTGTCTGACAGTTTGTGTCTGTTAGTGTGTATGTGTGTGTCTGACTGTGTGTGTGTGTCAGTGTGTGTGTCTGACTGTGTGTCTGTTAGTGTGTGTGTGTCTGTTAGTGTGTGTGTGTGTCTGTTAGTGAGTGTGTGTCTGTTAGCGTGTGTATGCGTATCTGTCAGTGAATGTGTGTGTGTGTGTATTTAGAAGGCGGGGCGGGGGGAAGGGTTGGGTGGGGCTGGCGTGGGAGGGGGGCGCCTGAGTTTTGTCCTGCCTAGGGCAGCACAAAACCAGGATACACCACTGTTCATAGTGAATAAGCATGCTGGGAGTTGTCCTCCATATAATTAGTAGCTTGAAGCACGGAGTGTCTTTGCAAAGCAAGAAACAGTTCATAGTGAATAAGCATGATGGGAGTTGTCCTCCATATAATTAGTAGGTTGAAGCACTGAGTATATTTGCAAAGCAAGAAACAGTTCATTGTGAATAAGCATGATGGGAGTTGTCCTCCATATAGTTAGTAGTTTGTAGCAATGAAGATTTGAGTAAGCAAGCATTAGTTCATTAATAAATGATATTGTAGACAAATAGTTGAAAGATATACTTAAGGTTAATGTGAGTAGTCCTCAAATAGTTCAGAGGTATGGTCCACTTGTAAAGTAAGTGAGTTTCCGTTCTCCAGTAATCCTCTATGGCATGAAGTATACTTGTCTTAGTCCAGAAGGCTAGGACGACTTCAGAGTTTGTAGAGCCGGCGTGTCCCAGGAGCCAGCGTGCATACTCGTAAGTAGGACCCACAATGCCAGAGCCTGTGGAGAGGTAAGTCTGGCAGAAGTAGCTCCCAGTATCACCAAGCCCCCTCTCTCTGGCACAGTCTCCCTAAATACCGTCAGAGCTGTGTCAGAGGGGGGCGGGGTCCGGCTCCGCCCAGCGGAGTTCCAAACCCAGAAGTGTTACCGCATGACAGTGCCACTATCTGTCAGTGTGTGTATCTGTGTGTCAGATTCATACACACTGGCACATACAAACACAGATATACACACCTTGACACACACCGGCACATACAAACACAGATACACACACTTTGAAACATAGATACACACACCTTGACACACAGATATATAGATACATACATACATACACACTGTGTGTCAAGGTGTGTGTATCTGTGTGCCACTATCTGCCAGGGTGTGTATCTGTGTGTCAGATTCATACACACTGGCACAAACAAACACAAATACACACAGACACATACAAACACAGATACACACACTTTGACACACAGACACACTTTGACACACTGTGTGTGTATCTGTGTGCCAGTGTATGTGTGTGTGTATCTGTGTGTCAGATATACAACTAGCACATACAAGCACAGATATACACACCTTGACACACACCGGCACATTAAAAAAGAAAATAGCGCAATTTTCCATGGGGGGGGGGTGGGGGGGAATTCCACAATGTTTATACGCTATGTCAAAGGGTTCCACGGGAAAAATTAATTGGGAACCTCTGCTTTAGACAAAAACCCTGAACAGTTAAAATTCCCATGAATTCTGAAAATTGAGCCATAACGTTCTAACTGCATTAATTTATCTTCATGATAACTTAACTCTTACTTTAATGCACTAACAGTAAGCAAGGCTGTTTACTAAAGTGTGTATTCAAAGGGAATTTCAAATTTAAAGGGTTACACTAACCCTTTTGAGGGGGACCCTTACAGTGTAATATGCCCTACTGGAAAAAAAAGATTTACTTACCTTGAATCCAGCGCCCGGTGAAGCTAATACCGCTGACTTCTACGCCCCCACCGATGTCACAGAAGCCTGTGATTGGACTGTTTTGCTGGCACAGAGCGCATGTACACGCTCTGGGCCAGCGAGGGGAGGGCAGTAAGAGTAGGGGGACGGGAGCGAGGGTTTTTAAAAATAAATAAAATAGGAAGAAAATACTGTCTGCAATGAAAGCAGGCGGGAAGAAGCACATAGGGATAATAGTCTGCTTACGGTCGCACTGCAATATATATATATATATATATATATATATATAATATATTTTTATTTACCTAGTAACTTTGTTTACAGCAGTTACTAGGAGGACCAGTTCAACTGATTTGTTGGTGTTTATATTTATCTTTCTCTTGTTCAATAGTTGTGTAATAAGACTGACACCTAATGGTCAAATTTTAACATTACAGTTAAAAAACGTTATGTTTTAATTTTGTATATAGTTACACTGAGAACACAAGCTATCAAGTTGTTTTCTTTATTCTGATTTTAAATAAGGAGCATTAAAGGCACCCAGAGCACTTCATCTCAATGAACTGGTCTGACTGCCATGTGCTCCTCTTTAACCCTGCAGTTAAAAACATTCTACAGGAACGGAAATGTTTCTATTGCAGGGTTAACCTGCCTCTTTTGGCTGTACACCCACTAGAGGCACTTCCGTAAAAATAGCAGAGTAAAACGAGGTCCCTCGTTTATATTAATGGCCTCCACTCGCAAGGCACTATATCCCCCCCGTTAATTATTTTAACCATAAGGACATGGGGAGGACCTGTGCCAGGTCCCCCTTTATTGGATTAGGACTCGCTAGTCTAGTTTTTATAACAGTGAGCAGCCACTGGATACTTGCTGTTTAGCTGACATGCCCCTATTCACAGCTCGGCAGGTAGGGGCAGGAGGCAGAGTTTAACCTCCTTTATTTACTAATACTAAGTATTTATTTAATTAGTATTAGTAATGTTGTCTGAAAGGTCAAAATTACGAAAAGGAAAAGCTGTTCATAATTCTGGTCTTTCAGCTTTTTAGATAGCTCCCTAATCGTAATGTGGGATTGCCATAAGGATGTCAAAAAGGAGCTATCTACTAAACAGCCTCGTCATTTGGAACCCTTAAATATGGCAATCCCACAAGGGTACCAATTTAGAGAGTTATGTACTAAATGGCTGCAAGATGCAGCCACGGCCCACCGCACAGATTGAAATTTCATTTGTCCGAATAAAATTCCAAAAACAATGACCTAATTTCTTCCAAAAAAACGAATGAACAAACAAATGAAATTCAGTTTGGACAAAACAAAATTTGTTTGGACAAAACTTAAATTTTGTCGGCGCCCAAGTCTACTAGTCAGTGCATCACCAGGCATTGACCTCCCCGCACGTCCCGGTTCCATCAAGGCCAATGAAGAGGATAAATAAAAACATTAGGGGTTATGTATGATGTGTTGTGTTCTAAAAGGTGGTCTAAAGTACTAGCAGGGCACATTGCATTGGTGACCCATTTTCCATGTTTGCTTCACGTTTCAGAACAGATAGTTTTTTTTTTTTTGTTTTTAATTATTTATAAATGCCATTGTTATAATTCTCCTCTTCTCTGTATGCTTACTCTATACGGACTGCCAAGTGCAAAGAACAATGCTTTAAACATTGACTGACAGAGAGATACATATTTGTTAAATATATCTTCAAATAAACACGATCTAACAGTAAGTGACAGTTGTTGATGGTTGGTTTAAGGTTCACATTAAAGGGATTCTATAGTGCCATGAAAAAAAAAAACAGTTTTCCTGCAGCGCCCCACTTCCCTCGCGCCCCCTTTCCCGCAGTGCTGAAGATGTTAAAAACCCTTCAGTCATTTTCCTGAATCCGACGTCAGCCAGCGGGGCAGACCTAATGCACACAGACAGCAATGGCATTCCCTATGGGGGAAAATCTGACTCTGTCTGGTAGACAGCCACTAGAGGAGGAGTTAACCCTCAGAGGTAATTATTGCAGTTTCTCAGAAACTGCAATGATAACCACTGTAGGGTTAAGGGAAATGGAACATTGCACCCAGACAACCTCAATGAGCTGAAGTGGTCTGGGTGCCTAGAGTGTCTCTTTAACTGCCAGGAATAAACTTAGATCCTATACATATTAGGCATTTAACAATCATATATGATATATGAATCTATTTTGAAATCTTTTTATTTAGTTGCACAGGATGTGTAAAAGTTATTATAAGCAAAAATGTGAAAAAAGACCCCCCCCCACCCCCCATTTTATACATTTTATTTGCATATAATGTTGTGTTAGGTGTACATAAAGGACCTTAAAGAGACACTATAGTCACCAGAACAACTACAGCTTATTGTTTGTTCTGGTAAATATAATCTTTCCCTGCGGGTTTGTTGCTGTAAACACTGCCTTTTCAGAGAAAAGGTAGTATTTACATTGCTCCCTAGGGATACCTCCAGTGCCCACTCCTTAGATGGCTACTAGAGGAGCTTTCTGGGGCAGTGCTGCACAGCATTCAGTGTCCACCCTCTGCATGGAGACACTACTTTCCTTATAGAGATATGGATTGGCCAGGACTTGGTTAGTGCTGGCTCTGCCCCTGAGCTGCCTCCTTGACAATCTCAGCCAATCCAATGCTTTCCTATGGAATAAAGGTAAGATTTTACTATGTTTAGGGGGTAAGGAGCGACCAGGGGGGATAGATAGTGTTTTTAACATTATAGGGTCAGAAGTACATGTTTGTGTTCCTTTAAATGAAAGCCCTTTCTGTCCTTGTACAAAATAATATATAATATGTATGTGGCATTTGAAGAAAAACCATTAAATGATGGCGGAATAAACCCATAGTTCAAACTCAAGGTTTTGTTTTAGTTCAGAATGTGGGTTATAGCTTACATGCCTTAAAGGGTTATGCTATATTTATGACTGCATTGCCGCAAGTGCATTTGAAATCAGTGCTATCTCTACAGGGTGAGAAACACCCCTCAAAAAATGAAATTTACATGTCAATTCCATATCTACTAATAGAGTCCTTTTAAAGCTTTGTATCTCTGGAAAGTACTTGTGAAGCTGTTTAAATGTATTGTACAGTATCAATGTCATATTTCCTTGTCTTTGAAGTTCTTGATACATGCTTGCATTTATATATGTAGAAATTCAGTATTAGATCCTCCTGCAGTTTTATATACGTTAAAGGGACACTATAGTCACCAAAACAACTTTAGCTTAATGAAGCAGTTATGGTGTATAGATCATGCCTTTGCAGTCTCACTGCTCAATTATCTACCATTTAGAAGTTAAATCACTTTGAACCCTAGTCACACCTCTCTGCATGTGACTTGCACAACCTTCCTAAACACTTCCTGTAAAGAGTCATCTAATGTTTATCCTTTCTTTATTGCAAGTTCTATTTAATTTAGATTTTCTTATCTCCCGCTTTATTAATAGCTTGTTAGACCCTGCAAGAGTCTCCTGTATGTGATTAAAGTTCAATTTACAGAGCAAGAGATAAAATTGTTTAAGGTAAATTACATCTGATTAAAAGTGAAATCCGTTTTTTTTCATGCAGGCTGTGTCAGTCAGAGCCAGGGGAGGTGTGGCAATGGTTGCATAAACAAAAACATAGTTATTTAACTCCTAAATGGCAGTGAATTGAGCAGTGAAACCTGAGAGGCATGATCTATACACTAAAACGGCATAATTAAGCTAAAGTTGTTTAGGTGACTATAGTGTTTCTTTAAATGGAACAGTATCTTCTATAATAAGGACTGATGTAGCCATAGTTGCTTGTACCCTCACCCCAGTAAATCATGTATCCTTTGAAGGTCTCCTGTTTTGATTAGTGCAGTAGAGGTAAGTATACACAAATGGCTTATTAACCTGCATGAGAACATACTGATTTTCTCCATTTGTTTTTTTTCTCTCTCTGTATAAATCTCGGTCTGTCTACATTTTGAACTTTCTGGAATTTTTACAGATGGTTCCATCACATTTTAAGCTTGATACGTCGTATTCCCAGCTTGGGAATTGGACACTCACACCAATCTTAAATAGTTACATTAAATGACTGGGAATTTCTAGTTTTGATGGATGTCGTATATTTCACTTCCAGTTGGAATACTTTATACGTCAGGCTTTCAAAGACAAGTCCGCAGTGAAGGGAGAAAAGAAAAACCTAAATAAATGTTGCCTTCCAGTTAAACCCCCAGAATTAGAACAGCCAGGTATGTAAATTGTTCACTGTTTCATTGTGAAATGATGTTGTTTTCCCAATCAAACATACTTACATTTTAATTAGGGCCTCCCCAAATTGTATTGTGCTCCAAATGATCTGGCATGTGATCACTAAAACTCCGAATTGCAGTGATCTGACCAAATACTAAACATTAGGCCAAATAGTTACACTGAAAAATATCCGGCTATAGTCACATCTTGGCAATTTTCATTACAGTTCAGTGTTTAGTGAATAAGCCCCTTTACGTACCCATGCTGTAGAGGAACAGATTATTATTTGTGTTTATATAGCGCCAACATATTCAGCAGCGCATTACAATTCTAATGTTGAGATATAACAGTAAAAAATACGAAACACACTATTATAAATGTTGTCAAGAATAAAAGAGGTTATTGGGGGCTCTGCTCATACAAGCTTACACTCTAGAGGAGATAAGGCATAAAACCACCAGTGGAGGGTAGCATGGTAAATATGATCAATTGGTTACTGCAGGCAAGCAGTAGAGTAGGAAGGCTGGTGAAATGGACTCTGGAGACAATAATAACGGCCTCGATTTAATATATTTGAATAAGCTTTTCAAACGAATTAATATTTTTGGCTAAAAAGATTAAATGTTTTGAAAAATTTTTTCATATTTTTTTCCATTTATTGATATATTTATATATATATAGGATATATGTTTTGATATTTTAATATTTAAGCATTTAAAAAAAAAAAAACAACAACTTATCCAACCATATTAAATAATTTAAACAGGCTTTCCAAAAATATTTAGTTCAGGCTCGGTTTAGAAGAGAGGGGGCAGACAAAATTTTACAAAATAACAATAATGAGGTAATGGAATTTCCTCATTATGATGTAAAATAGTGGTATTTGTGTTTCAGGGATTCTTTCAATTATTTGTGTTATTGAAAACAGTTTGACAAAAATAAAACAAAATTGAGAGACCGCACGTGCAGCTTCTTAGCACCATACCCACTACATTGATCTATGATAGTGCTTGAAGTGTCCCTTAAAATGGATATTCTAAGCAGAACTTCTACTCTCATAACAGTATATCAGCTTATCACAGGTGTTAGGAGAAATGTACATTGATAATGCAGAAGTTGTAAAATCCACATTATCACTGTGGCTGAGGAGTGCCCTGTTTTATGTTTAAACCTTTCTCAAATTGAGACTCCAGGCAATATAACCACAATACTGAGCAGTAGCATTCCCTTTGCTTAGTGTACCCCTTTAAGTACGTAAGCATCAATCCACATTTAACTCCAGGGACTTGAATGATTTTGTGCATGATGATTAAATTACTAACCATTAAAGGGATTCTATAGTGCCAGGAAAACAAAGCCGTTTTCCTGGCACTATAGAATCCTACAGTGCCCGCCTCCCTCGCCTGCCCACTCCGGCGGGGCTGAAAGGGTTAAAACACATTTCAGTCACTTACCTGAATCCAGCTCCGATGTCCCTCGCTGCTGGGTCAGGCTCCGTCAACGCTCCTCCCCTGCAGACGTCAGCCGGTGGTGGAGACCTAATGCGCATGCTATGGAAAAAAAATGGGGAAAAATCTGACGCTGGAGGTCCTAATGCTGAGTGTGAGAACGTCCAGCGTCACATAATGGACCAAAGGTCTGTTTCAAACCAGTAAGCCCTCTAGTGGCTGTCTGGTATACAGCCACTAGAGGTGGAGTTAACCGTGTATAGTAATGAGCTGAAGTGGTCTGGGTGCCTACAGTGTCCCTTTAAGCTGTTCTATAATTCTCCTAAATAAATGCAGATATTTTTAAATGTATGTTGTTAACTGGGGGTACAGTTTATCTGGGGGCACAGCTACCAACTCCAAATGCTAGTAGTTATTAAATTGAAATGTACCCTACTCAGTAATATCTCTAAAACAATGATCAACAACAGGCAGATTCCCCTCTGTTGAAATACATCTGTCACAAAACTTTACCAGTCTAAACAGTTGGGCCGTAACTTTCTAATGCTCCTTCTCTAGAATTCTAATATGTGATAGTTCATTAATAAAACATCAATATTTTATTCTACTACAAACATTTCTATATACATTAATACATATATACATTGATATATACAATATAGTAACCTGCTGCCTATGTTGTTTTTATAGAAAAGTTACCAGTATTGAAGGACGAGCCCTCACAGTATGAGTCGAACTTTCAAGGCCTATTGGTGCGCTGTCAGTGTGTGGATGTGATATTTTGCGGATCAGACTTGGACGAGGTGTCGGCAGCTCATCGCATTGTGCTGTGCAGTATAAGTCCTGTGTTTAGATTCCTATTTAATAAAAAGGATGCCGGTGACATTGGGGACCCTGCTCTACCAATGGCTATATATGATCTCTTCTCTCTGTGTACAGAGGACAATAACACAGCTCTCAGCTCCCCTGTAAGGGTTATTGTTAAGGACGATCTTTTCAGTTCATGTTTATCAGACATTCTGCACTTCATTTATTCAGGTACCATGTGTGATCACCATCATTCGTTCGCTTTTGATTCACTTGTCTCATGCTAAATCCTCAATTAAGTCCATCGTGTACATTCATTTGTTCAATGCAGACCAACTGCATTTGTAGAATAAAGCACCCTAACAATATATTGGTGAAAATGCTTTTGTATTTCTTTTTATTTTGGTACTTAAAGGAACACTATAGTCACCAAAACAACTTTAGCTTAATTAAGTAATTTTGATGTATAGATCATGCCTCTGAAGTTACACATTTCAAATATCTGCCATTTAGGAGTTAAATCACTTTTGTTTCTGCTTATGCAGAACTAACTACACCTACACTGGCAGTGATTACACAGCCTGCATGAAAAAAAAAATGGTTTCATTTTTAATCAGATGTTAACTTACTTTAAAAGTTTTTATCTCTTGGTCTGTAAATTGAACTTTAATCACATACAGAAGGCTCCTGCAGGATTTAGCAAGCTTTTAACGTGCAGGAGATAAGAAATTCTAAAGAAAAAAAGAATTCACAATAAAGGAAGTATAAACATTAGATGACTCTTTACAGAAAGTGTTTAGGAAGGTTGTACAAGTCACATGTAGAGAGGTGTGACCAGGGCTGCATAAACAAAGTGAGTTTACTCCTAAATGGCAGAGAACTGAGCAGTGAGACAGCAGGTGCATGATCTTTACACCAAATCTGCTTTATTAAGCTAAAGTTGTTTTGGTGACTATAGTGTCCCTTTAATACAAATAAGAGATTGGCTTCTCAGAGGAATCGTCATGTCTGATACACAGAATTCTACATACAAAGTATAATGAGATACAGTTAACCAATAAAGGACAACTGTGCTATACTTTACTCTGTTCTTTATAGGTTGACTGTATCTCATTATATTTTGCATATCGTGTATTGTGATATTTCCAACTACCAGACTATCATCCTTTTTTTTAAATGTTCTATTCCCAGAGCTGCTGCTGGATCTTTCCTTTCTGCTTGTCTCCATATTACATGATTTATATATTGCATGTTAATTTCATACAATTCCCTTGTAATTTTTTGCATTTTTTTAAAGTTTATAAAAAAAACCTCTTCCTGACTCCTTCCTGTCCCGTTTTATGTCCTTTAAAGTCTTCCCCCTCCTTTTGCACATTTTCTTGTCTTTCCTTCTCTGTTATATAACTATCCCATTCACATCAGACACTCTCTCTCCTCCTGTTTACGGGTCTCTTCCTAACTGAGAAATATTATCTATTTAAAGCTGATTAAATATTCAAAAGCACAGTCATCACGATTACATTATTGTATTTTCTTTCCTTTCTAGTAAACTCTAAAATCTACATTTGTTTAACCATCTCGAACACACATATATATATTGTAGATTGTCTGTCTATATTTTGTAAGTTGGTTGTCAGAGGACATTATTTGTATAACCAGATCTCATTTGCATAATGCTATATATATTCAAACAGAGATGTGTCTGACTCATGTATGATTTTCATGGAACTAAATCTCACAGAAAAGCAGGACAGGAAAAACAAGTTATAATAAATGTAACTATTACTAAGAAATTATATTCCAGTAAAGAAATAGAACACTGAAAAATCATTTTTCTCTGTCCGTACCCCCTATTACCTATACCCAACGACAGACTAGACACCTTGTTTGTTCAATAAATATTTTACTCCTTGTTAGATGATAACGTATTTACATTGTGAACACTTCTGAATATACATCTCATCTAATCCTCTTAATATTTCAGGACTGGATGTTAAATCTAGATATATCATCTTTAATAAAATTAAACTTAAGATGCTCCAGTCAAGGCTAATCTAAATGATAGACGAAGGGGCATCCTTTTAATAGGATAGTATGGTTTTTATATTATTATTATTATTATTATTATTATACAGACGCCACTTACTGGAGCATCTCTTGCCATTTAACTGCTAGTAGAGTCGCCAAACAGTGCATCTGCAACTTTTTGTAATTTTTAAAAATATTTTAGCTTTTTTTTTTTTTTTTTTTCAATGCTTTATCCTTGAAATATATTAAAACATAGGCGCACATTTCTCCTATAATTTCCTCTTGATTACGTGATCTTATGTCTTGCGTGGCTGTTAACACTAAAGAAAGTTCCATCTAATTATAAAATATCAGGAGATACTAGAATTGTACTATCCAGTTATTTGGAATATGTAAATGTATGATCTGACACATGGATCAAACATCACTAGATTTAAAAAAAAATAAAAAATGATAGCAATGAATTCAGCCTGGGATTCCCGATGTATCTAACTGACATCTGGTTCTTCCCATCTCAGGTGCATGTCAGTGGGGGCTGCTTGAACAGTGCCTTAGAAAAAAGATGAAAGATCCGGCAGGTGTTGTACATGTCCTACAGAGAGTCCGATGGATAGTAAAAGTAAGGAATCCTTTTATTTAGTATGGTATTAGCATGCTCCATGCAATATAAAGATTTCTATTAACTGCACCTACCTACAATGTCTTCCAACATGTCAAATGGCCAGAGAGGGACAGTTGTGACACAAAAGGACACAAGAGAAGGAGGTACAAGCTAATTTAGGTGACATAAAGGAACACACACACACTGCTATACACACACAAACACTGCCACACACTACTAGATATACACACACACTGCCATACACTGCTAAACACACACACACACACACACTAATGTATACACATTGACAGTAAATGGGTTACTAGCTGCAGTACTGGCAATTACACCACCTTAATAAATAATGTAATAATTTGCACATTGAATTAAACTGCAGTAAAATGTATATCTCCAAACCTCCCTCGCACAAACCGAAGTAAACTGACCACCACAATGCAATGATTTGTGGGCCCAGAACATACTTGAAAACGAGAGAAATCTCAATGTATCTTTCCTGGTAAAATATTTTATAAATAAATGATATCTAGTTAATTAATTGTCATTTTCTGCCTGTAGGAAGAAAATCCATCAGATCTGTCTTCAGGTTCACCGACCCTCTCTCATTCTCTGGGACACTATTTTAACACTCCTTTCTTAGCAGATATAATCTTCCATGTCCAAGGTAATTTGCCATTATTCTCACAAATTCACAGTACCAAGAACAGTTATCGTAACATTTCACATTTTCGGGGTTATTTACCAAAGTCAGTTGGCTCTTTTACTTTAACTTTAAAAATGTGAATGTCATATAATGTACAAAACAAAGCAAGTTTTTTACAGTGGTAAAATCTTTGATTTGTCAAAGGAGCAATAACGTAATAATGGTCTCCAACCATCAGAAATCACCTGACAGAAATCACCTGACATGCGGCCCCAGTTATGACCTGCAACGTGTCTGCATCTATTTCCTGGTATTCCTGATGAGCCTTTATATGTAGTTGTATATGAGAAACACAGCTACAAACCATTAATACATGCAAAATGGCATGTCTTAAAGGTCCACTACAGTGCCAGGAAAACAAACTCGTTTTCCTGGCACTATGTAGTCCTTAGGTTCCCCCCCACCCCCAGCCTCATGGCCCCCCTCCCGCTGGGCTGAAGGGGTTAAAATCCCTTCAGCCACTTACCTTTATCCAGCGCCAGCTCCCTCGGCGCTGGTGACCTCTTCTCCCCTTCCGACGTTGGCTCCCAAGTGCTCAATGATTTCCTATGAACGTCAGCATCTTCTCACTGTCATTTTCACAGTGAGAATCACGGAAACGGCCTCTAGTGGCTGTCTGGGAGACAGTCACTAGAGGCTGGATTAACCCTCAGTGAAACATAGCAGTTTCTCTGAAACTGTTTTGTTTTCAGCTGCAGGGTTAAAACTAGAGGGACCTGGCACCCAGACCACTTTATTGAGCTGAAGTGGTCTGGGTGCCTATAGTGGTCCTTTAAATAATGTATTTATTTTGTAACAATTTAGTAGATATACCCCAAATGAAAACACGCCTGCATTAATTGCTGAATTTGGCCATTCAGGGTAATATATAAAAAAAGACGCAGTTCTCTTTTTCTGCAACCCTCATCCTCATGGAGATCTCCTGGCTGAAAGCTAGGAAGTCCACGGACAGGGCTGAAGTGGGCTCTGTGGGTTTGTGCTTGGGGGGAAAAGCTAATAGAATCAGAAATAACTCCTCCTTGGCTGTCTGACAACCAGGAACATGTTTCTTACATTAGTTCCAAAGGTGCCAATTTCAAAGAGAAATCAGCATGTTAATACACTGCAATTAAAAAGAGATACTCCACACACATAGAGCACTCCAGCAAGTAGTGTCCCTTTTAAAAGCAAAACAAACTCACCCAGTAGCCTATAACATGGCTAACTGTACATTAGAACACAACAAATGTAACACATAGCAAATGAGAAATTTACTGAGAATTGGATGCCTTTCTACTTAATGGAGCCTGGGTCTCGGTTTATTGTGAATGGGGTAAAAAACTATCAAAATGGCAAAATTAGTTTATACGAGTTTTTATCTCGTATGATAGAATCGATCTTTAGCAGAGCTCTGCGTTTCTCTTTTAACGTAATCTAGCAAATAAATGTTCACGCGGTAAATCAAAAAAGGCAAAAAGGTACAAATATTTATTTATCTCTGCATGGATTCTGGGTAGAGGGAAATCTATAAGCAAAACAATATTAAAGGGACACTATAGTCACCCAGACCACTTCAGCTCAATGAAGCGGTCTAGGTGCCAGGTCCCCCAGGTTTTAACCCTTCAGATGTACACTTACATTGCAGGGTTAATCCAGCCTGTAGTGGCTGTCTTACTGACAGCCGCTAGAGGCGCTTCTGCGACACTAGATCCGAAAATCACATTCAGCGTGCAGAATCTCCATAGGAAATGCTTTCCTATGGACTGTTTGAATGCGCACGCAGCACTTGCTGCGCACGCGCATTCCGCTCCACTCAGGAGCTGACGTCGGCGGGGGAGGAGAGGTCACCAGCGCCGAGGGAGCCCGGCGCTGGATTAAGGTAAATTGCTGAAGGGGGTTTAACCCCTTCAGCCCAGCAGGAGGGGGCCCTGAGGGTGGGGGGGACCCAAGGGTTATATAGTGTCAGGAAAACGAGTTTGTTTTCCTGACACTATAGTGATCCTTTAAGACATGGATGTATAGCCATAATAGAATAGATATTCAGACAGCTAGTAATGTGACAGGACCGAGCTGCGTGACTCAGATAATGTGCGTTTATATAAGTACTTAATCATGGTACACTGACCTGTAGGGTGTAGTCTGATTACATTTCTAGCATACTTTACCTTGACCAAACATGATGCACACCTCGCTTTGCTGAATTCAAGAGAAAATCCATGTGAGAATGGATGAGATTAAAAGGACAAAGGGAAGTGATCTATAATAATCTGGTGTTATATATAGTACAGAATTACAGAATTTCAGAGGAAAATGGTTTTGTCACACAGGCCTATGTATCCAATGGACGGTAGGCGAGCTGTAGATCATTTATAATAAACAGCAGACGAACTGATCTAAACACATACAATTTTTAGGACTTTTCTAATTACATTGTTATCCCCATGTGTACATTTTCCATAATGTGTTACTGCGATCACTTTTCACTTAATTTCTCCACAATCCTGTTGTTTGCTGCATTTTTCTACTGTTTGATCTCCACCATAGTCTTATCCTGAAATCTCGGGTTTCCAGGTCTGCAAATGTTGCTGGCTAGCATCTTCTGGATTATATTAACTTCCTGTTTCGTATCCATGATGACCTCCTATAATCACCTCATTCAATTCTCTCCCTTCCTGTTCTGCTTTTATAGATAGAGACTGTTTAAATTACTTTCACTATTTGAGACACAAGGAGTGAGCTGTTGGGGCATGAAAGTGACGAACAAACTGAGCCCAAAATAGCCAAATTTGCCAAATTAGCCATTTTTTGAGTTCAACGATTTTGGCCTAAAATGTTAAATTCACATTCATTTCCCAACAACTTTTGAGATTAACCTTTATTCTGATTTACAATGTATCACTTTACACCAGGCTCTCAAAAATCAGCACGATATTCAAAGCAATAGCCTATGAAAACCACTTAACTGCTTATTAGTAGTTTATCAGATCACAAAACCAATCTCAGCTGATATCCAATGTAACCTTTGCCACGTAACACAAACAGAAGAATTCAAATCTAGAAAAACTTAAATTGTGCTGTGACATGTTGTGCTAAAATAAAAAAATTTAAAAATACAGGTCGCCTAGCATAATTTGAAATAATGCCTAGTGCTTATGCACAAGAGGCTTCAAAATACTACAGTTGGGCAAACTCGTTTTCCTACGGGAAAGCATTGGATTGACTGAGAATTTCAAGACTGATTATCTCAGCCACGGAAGCGGGGCCAGCAGCAAGCATAGAACGGCGATGGAGAGAAAGTAAAATACCTTTTATCTCCAGTCTGATGAGGGGCAGTGACATATATGATAGTCCATATTTGTATTCTGAACACCTTAGTGTTTCTTTAACTATTTTATTTAATCGCCCCCACCCATTTATTTGGTACACGGGGGAAGACTCTATGGCATCCCCCTTATTAATTTATCAGGTGCCCCAACATGGGGGTACGGGGAAACCTGTGTTAGGACCCTCTTTATTGGATTAGAAAATGGGCAGTATTTTTGTTTACAGCAGCGAGCAGCCACCGGCTGTTTAGAAGTCATGCTCAATATTGGCGGCACAGCAGGTAAGGGCAGAAGGGATTGTTTAATCTTCCCTATATACTGATAGTATTTTTACTTTGTCTTTCATTATGAAAAAGAAGGGCTTTTCATAATTTTGGTCTTTCAGCTTTTTAGTAGATAGCTCCTAATCCTTATGTGAGATTGTCATAAGGATACAAAAAAGGGGCTGTCTGCTAAACAGCTCCCTAATGTGGCAATTCTACAACTGTATCAAATTTAGGGAGTTATCTACTAAATTGATGCAAGATACAGTCGCGGCCTGAGACACAAATCTGAATTTGTTTAGTCTGAATGAAATTCCGAAACGAAAATAATGGCCTAATATCTTCCACAAATGAATGCACAAACAGAGTAAACTCCGTTCTGCAATAACAATTTTTTGTTTGTTTTTTAATCTGAAAGTATTTGGGCAAAACCAAAATTTTGGCAGTGCCCAAGTTTATTAAATACCACTATAATACTACAACAAGCTAAATGGATTTACACTGCAACAGAGTGCTATTCCAGTAGTTTAGCCATTGGCTAGTTTATCGTCTAAATCATACTGTGTCAGGAGCAATTATATTTAGCAACTTCGCATGAAAAGCAGTCTGCTAAATTACAACTTTTTTTCCCCTAATATTTTTTTAACAAAGTCAGATGCATGTTTTTGTAAAAAGTAAAAAATCTCTTAAACCTTAGAACCACCTCTTGTGTTCACTTACAAGAGGAAGTGGTTAGTCAAGAATAACAGTCAGGGCTGGAGTGGTCCACCGGGATACCGGAAAATTTCCCAGTGGACCGCGGCTCCTGGGGGCAGCGCAGCGCACTAATTCTTTCCACCCATAGAGAGGGAGCCGGCTGGTTTCAGTAACATCGTGGCCATCGGCCACATGAAGGTGTTGCCGGTTCGGTGGCACACTCTGAGGGAGGAGGCCGGCCGCGTTCAGCAGTTACCTTTCGGCCAGTGGCCGCATCTCATGTTATGGTGGTGCCAACAGGACGGCTGGCCACCTAGCTGTTCCGGCGGCACGCTCACTAATACTGACAGCCGTGCAGCTGTCAGATAGCACAGGAGGACTGAGGGAGGGGACAGACCTCACTATCATGCTCCCTCGCGGTTCCCACAATTCCCAGCACAGCCACATCATAGAATAGTAAAAACCAAAGTAAAGAAAAAGTTACCTGCACTCTCTCCTTAATCCCTATGTATATTTATACAAATGGAGGTCATTTAGTTGCTCCAATGGCCATTGGAGGGAATGCCCGCCTGCCAACGTCAAGGCAGACCCCCCTAAAGCGGGTCCTACACTGACCCTTCAACCTGCTTCCTTGAGCTTCAGGCAAAGATATCTCTAATGAGACAGAGAGGGGGCCGGCCCAGTAGTGCTGGCCCAGTAGTGATGGGAGTGAGCACAGGACTTATCTTTTTGTATTTGTATTTACAGGGAAGAGAGAAACACATGGAGGAGAGGGAGAGAAAGAGACACAGGAGCAGTGAGGGGGAGAAAGAGACACACAGAGGGGCTGGGGGAAGAATGCTGCACACAGAGGGACTGGGGGGAGACAAAGAGACACACAGAAGGATTGTTGGGGGACACAGAGAAGGGAAGGGGAACAAAGTGACACATTTTGTGGGGGCAAAGCTGTGCTGGGGAAGAAAGACACATAGAGTGGCAGGGAGGAGAGAAAGAGGCACACAGAAGGACTGGAGTTAGAATAGACACACAGGGAAGGGGAAAAAGACAAAGGGGCTGGGCTGGGAAGAAAGAAACATACAGAGGGCTGAAGAAGGGTAATAAGAGACACACAGGTGCTGAGATGAAGTAAAAGTGGGTTTGAAAGAGAAGGGGAGTTGAAAGAGACACCAAGGAGAAAAATTGGAGACAAGATACACTAAATGAGGTAAAAAAATGAAAGAAGGGAATAATAAACACAAAAAACCAGCACGTAATTCAAAAGGAGGTTAAGAGAAACACAAGAGAAGATGCATTTTTTTGTGTGTGTTTGGGGGGCATGGGGGTGGGGGGATGCATTTTCGCCTGTGTCTACTGCTCTCCCTGTAACTTAGTTCTTCAGTACAGGAATTTATGCCCAAGAGCTAATTGACAGGTGAGCGAAAGACCTCTTATTAAATAGATTTTCCTTCCAATATATGCATTTTGCTAGCAATCTTTCTAATACAATGTACAGATAGACGTGATTAATGTGACTCTGACAGTAATGCACACACACACACACACATATATGCATGTAGATTAATGTGTGTATTTGTGATATATATAATTGTACCTATAATATTTAAACATATATTAATATACATTTATATATGCATAATACACACAGAAATGTCATTAATATATAACTAAACTTGATAACTTCATTTTTCACAGCTGTGTAACATTCAACATCTCAGTCCCATTACCAAACTTTCCTTAATATGTCGAGGTAGTTGGACTGAAACATTGATTATATGCAAATGTACGTCTGCTTAAAATAAATCCGCTCTTTTGTTTATTTTGAAGCCCTATGAGGGCTTTCTTTCAGTGCAGTAATAGTTTTCAAATTTAGGTTTTCTTTTCCCACCACTATATCAGCACACTATACTGGCGCAAAGCATTATTGGGCTGGTATAGAATTTTTTCCAGGGCTGCTTTTATTTCCCAGTCCGGCCCTGTTAACAGCTGTATGATTTTTATAAACCTTATTTAATATATGGCTTTTTCTTAGAATGTTCTATACCAGCTATACAGCAGTAGTGTCATTCATGGCAGACCATGTCATTAATTGGTTCATTCATGAAAACACAACTTAAGTCGCTTGGAGCTTTCTGTTAATTCATATGTATATATAGCTTTATTCATGTGATTTACTTATAGTTGGATAGCTTCATTACATATCCCACAATCCATTGGTTCAATGAACTTTATCAGATATCTAGAATGAAAACAGAGGTCATTTCTCGGTCTATGCAGAAATCACTGTAAATTAGAAAATCACTGTGTGTTTATTAATATCTTTTTTTATTTTTCTGCATAATTTAGTCATGATATATATCTATAATCCATTGAAAGGGAGAGGAGGTAATGGAAAATATCTTTGCATACTAGTCTAATTTACTATAACAATATTGTTATTGAGGTGAATATTCTAAATGGTAACTTATGCTTCTGTTGATAAAAAAAAAAGTTATTCAAAAAAAAAAAGGGGAGTGGGGGGGGGGGAGAGAAAGTCAACACCTAGAGTTCTCTTTGATACCAAGTCATATCAAGTGAGTATAGCTAAGAGGTTTTAAGCGATACTAGAATATTTTTAGTTTAGTATAATAGCTTTCGTAGTCACATTAACCATACAGCTATTATAGTTTTGGTAAATTAACAGTATGTATACTTGTGGGGATGGCACAGTATAGTAGACAATGCCTATTAATGAGAGTGTATTGTAAGATATATGTTGTAATATTTCTGTGTTTGTATTTCAGGCTTTGCAGTCCCTGCCCACCGCGCTGTGCTCGTAGCTCGATGTGAAGTCATGGCCGCTATGTTCAGTGGGAATTACATGGAAGCGAAGAGTTTTCAGATTCCTGTTTATGGTGTTTCTAAGGACACCTTCCTAATATTTCTAGAATACCTTTATACTGATTCCTGTTGTCCTGGTAAGCTGTAACACCCACACTGTTAGCATCTGCTGCAGAACTTCATGCATAACTTCCATTTTACCCTTAGTACTTCCACGGGAGCCAAGCAGAACCTTTATTTTGAGGGACATTAAAGAGACTCTATAATCTCTGACCATTTGCATACTCTAATAGCTAACTATATTATCATGTTATATTTGTGCTGTGCATTTTATTAATTCCTATTATATGCAAGACCATCAAAGTTTTATCCTACATACAGTTTGCTATTCACTAAACTGGTAAGTATAGAGCATTGAGAAGGCCAGTATTGCTGGATTGTGAACTGGCTTACAGCTGGGCTATTATGGCCTAAATTTTGCAATGTCTTCATCAATTTTTCAAACTTTCTGGGTTAGTGCACAACCCTGAGTGTAAATCTCATCACTGTGATTGTCTAACCGTGTTTGAACATGCATAGACAATAATTGTGTTTGAGCATGGGAAGACGATAAGCGTGTTTGAACATGGGAAGACAATAATTGTGTTTGAGCATGGGAAGGCGATAATTGTGTTTAAACATGGAAAGACGATAATCGTGTTTGAACGTGGGAAGACAATAATCGTGTTTGAGCATGGGAAGACGATAATCGTGTTTGAACATGGGAAGACGATAATCGTGTTTGAAAATGGGAAGACGATAAGCGTGTTTGAACATGGGAAGACGATAATCGTGTTTGAATGTGGGAAGACGATAATCGCTTTTAAACATGGGAAGATAAAAACCGTGTTTGAACATGGGAAGACGATAATCGTGTCTGTATATCCTTTCTCTGCTCAGGATGGGAAGATATCCGAGCCAGTACCAGGTGCTACAGAGATGCACACCTCACAGAAGCAAACGCTACATTCGCTTGTAGCAGGTTTAGTGAAATGCAACTGTCATCAGTGCAAACTATAACTGGAAGATATTGTAGAATTAAAGGTGACCGCAGCTCTCCAGTGTACACAGAGCAGCTGTATATAAAAGTTGCCATAAATGCATCATGTTGATTGCACCCTGTGGTATGTGGAACTTATATGCTGCAGTATACCTGATTTAATTCTTCACCGGGTTTGCTACCTGATACATTTCAGATCCAAATCCTACAGGACAGCACTTTTCATATGTTGTCCATCAATTTCTAAAAGTCGTATGTCTCGTAGTGGCATCCCTTTCCCATATTAATGAGATTACACATTGGCTGCTAGATTGGCGTGGAAGAAATGTGCTATGCTTTTGGAGTGTTCTTTTGAAGTGAGTTGTTTATTCCATTTGTTATATGTAGATAATGGATCACCAAACTTCTTAATCTGTACTTTATGTCACTTTTTATCCCCCGCCATAATTTAATGGCACTGCAGGCACTGTAATGGTGAGCTTTCCCCTTATTTCCTCCAAAGCAACTTTGGTGGACTTAAAAAATTGGAACAGGCTACCTCAACATGTAAAGAACCCTGACCAGTAAATGGCACAGAGCAGTCTCAGTAAATACTACTCACGTCTGTGAGAGCCCAATGAATAAAGCTGCCGAGGACATTTAAAAAAAAGTCTTTTAAAACAAAATGAAAGTATAGGGTACAAAGTATTTATGAAAAATGCATTTTTCCCTCCAAAACTCAGTTGGTTCTGACTTGCTATAACTATTTTCAAATGACTTCTGCTTGTCTACATATCTCCCCACCGCCTTGCCCCTATTCATCGTTACCCATCCCCTCTCCTCCATAGTCTGTATACCCTCCCAAAGCTGCAACTCCACTCCTTCACTTTCTAACAGATTGGCTAAAGCCACATGTCCTTTGGTAAATGTATATTATCCTCTTGTTCTACATATTGTTAATGATTACAGCGGTGTTGGTTGATGGCTATACCACTATATTAATGCAGTCTGACTGTACCGGAGTTCAAGGTTTAGTTTAAGTTGACAGTTTGTGTTTTGTTATAGTTACAGAGTACACTACCTGCCCACCGTGTTATAGCTTACCTGCTGATCACTGTAGCATTGCTAATCTATGTAAAAGGCTCTGGGCAAGGATGCTGTATAAAAAACACAAAAAATGCTCTCTAAGGTAGAAAAGTAACAAAACTCATAGAGTAATAATGTACAAACAACATATATAGTAAATCCTATATCTTGCACTCACAAACATAATTTGATTGATTGTTGGCATATCCGATAATCTGCAGATCACAAAAGGACGGACATATGGGGACAAAATGAAATGATAATACTGCAGTATGTTATTTCAAAACGCTGTGCTTTATTATAAGTAACACTTAAAGAATCACTGTACAAAAAGGCACATTGAATAATGTAGATGTAATTGCCAATAGATAATGGTCCTTAGTTTCCGCTTTAGCCTTCTATGAATCACTCCTCCTCATTCCATTTAAAGCTAATTAACATGAATTGTGAAAAACACAAATAACACAAAATAAAATGTGAAAACATTAAATAAAATTCCCTTATTAAATGTTCAACCCTTCGCGTATCGTCCGGTATATGTCCGGACTTCCTCAGGGGTAAAAGGATAAATAGCTAGATGTATCAAAAATGATAAAAAAATGGAAAATAAATTTAAAAAAAATAAAATAAAAATAGAAATAAATATTATAAATATTATTATAAATATTACAAATATTATAAATATGTACATAGAAGTCTTATAAAAAAATTCATATAGACAGTAATAAAAACTATAAAAAACATACTAAATCGAAAATCCACATTTTAAACCTTTTGGATTCACTGTCTTTTATAAGGATGCTATATAACAGATGCTAACAAAGTGTATATGCATAATACTTCATAGCTCAATGCCCAATGATACTGTTAACGTTTGATTTTATTTCCCAGCCAGTATTCTACAAGCCATATCATTGCTGGTGTGTTCTGAGATGTACCAAGTGCCAAGACTTCAACACATGTGTGAATCGTACGTCATCACCCAGCTCCAAAACATGTCCAGCCGGGAGCTTTCGACAACCAGTTTCAGTGTTGTTCCTTTGTTGAGGAAGGCTCAGGTAGAGTGTGTGTGTGTGTGTTTGCCTGTATAGGCACACTTATAGCTACAGCTCTGTGTCATGTTTTAGTGTCAATCCTATTGTTGGGCTCTGTTCATAACATTGGACTCATTTTACAACCAGAACCATTCAGTCAGACATGAGTCCTTCATTATCGGGGGACCTAAACCTGTTTAAAGGGACACTATAGGCACCCAGACCACTTTGGCTTATTGAAGTGGTCTGGGTGCACTGTGCCTATTGCACTTAGTGTTACAATGTAAAATATGGCAGTTCCAAAGAAATTGCAATGTTTTCATTGCAGCAATAAGTCTACCTCTACCAGACGGCCACTGGAGGCGCTTCCTGGCTGTTAACAGACATTCAGCATCAGCTATTTCCCCTTAGGAAAGCATTGATTCAATGCTTTCCTATAGGGAGAGCCTAATGTGTGTGCCACTTGTCGCATAAGCTCAACCTTGTGGACATAACGTCGGAGGAGGAGGAGCTGCGAACCAACGCCGAGGGTCATCGCCACTGGGATCAGGTAAGTAAAAGGGCTTTTAACCCTTTATTCACCAAAGCAGAGGGGGAGGGGGAAGTGTGAGGGATAGGGGAGACAGAGGGAGCTATAGTGCCAGGAATACAGCTTTGTATTCCTTGGAACATATACTATTTCTTTAACTCAACCTCATTGCAATGATAAAATCAGGTGACATGTTCCTATTCATTCTTATTCTAGACTACAGGCCTAATGCTTGACTGATCAGTGCTTCAAAATTCTCCTGTTGTGTTATGTAATGTGTGAATGGATACTATAACATTTAAAACCCTCTCAATGAGTAAATGAAATGTGGGATTTTTTAACAAGACTTGGTAATCAGCATCGTGTATTTACAATTTGTCTTTTTTTTTTAATCTTCCTTTCCATTTGTATTTCAGTTCCATCATTCGGAATGCCTTTCAACATGGCTACTTTATTTCATTGCCACAAACTACCTGATCTTCAGTCAGAAAAAAGAATTCCAAGATCTGACACGTATGTCATTATATACCTGTATTTCAAGTGTCAAAACTTTATAAGGATTTAGATTTTTTTCCGACATACCACGTGACATGACTGTCTGCAATCAGAATGTATGTCTATTTAGCGTTATGATACAAAGTTTACTTATAAATAATAATCAGCGGATTAAAACCGTGTAGTCTCATCTCAGAATTTCTCAGAATTTGTGTACAGCACTATGTGCATACTTCTCCAGTAAGGCTTCAAGGAGATGTAACAAGCTGCTGAAGGTACAAACAATATAGTCGTGTGCTAAATTTGTTTAATCGATAAACAAATATTTCAGTCTGAATCATTATTATTTATGTAGCGCGAACATATTCTGCAGCACTTTACAGTTCTAGAAAGGAGATCAAAGTGAGCTTACAATCCATGAGTATTTGAGATAGGTGGATATATATATGGTTAGGTGCCTAAGGACACTGACTGGCGAGGTGATCTGACTGGGATTCGAACCTGGGTTTCACATCCTAAAGAATCTATAAATCGATTGGTTTGGGTGTTCATTCAGACAAACTGATTTTTTTTATGGATGAAACTAAATTTTGCACACGTCTAGAAAATACTTGTGCCTTGGAAAAAAAATCTCTAGTTCTCCCTTCATCTTACAGAGTAATTAACTAAAGTTAGAATTCCAAGTGAATTTCAAATTTTAGGCCAAAGTAGCTGATCTGAAAGGGAAGCCAGCATGTTAGCACCAGCACAGGGATTGCCATACTTAGGAAAGTGACCCCAAGCAGGGCCAGTTACTCCACAATCACACGCAGCCAGATACACGCTCTGCCAACCAACACAGTCGGACTCAACCAAGCCCGTACAGAATCACACGGTGCCAACCCCTGCACAATCACACTCAGCCATCACACACATCCCACTAAGCTGTTCTGCTTTGGGGGGAGCAAGGAGGGTGGTAAGACGGCCCCTTCTTTAATTATTGCATTGGGGTCCTGTGATTCCTACTGAAACCCCTGATTTATTGCCTCAACCTTAGTTACCAGAACTCTGTGTGTGTCATTTATTGAATAACATTTACCCTATTACACTCTCTCCTTCTAGCTGAAGAGCGTGCTTTCATTGAAGCGCACAGATGGCCATCGAGTATCTATTTAAAGAAGCTTGCAGAATATAGACTGCATGTACACTCTCAAAAGCACAGGTGTGCTATGATGTAGCTTGGAAACACTACGTGGACTTGATATATGAAGCATTTACCTGCCTGCTCTACAGTTAACACAGCAGCGGCTGACCTTGACAGCTGCAGATGTTTGAGAAATATATGTGCATGATGCTTAGACATGGTTGCACGAACCCAGCTATTGTAAATCTGTGAATGGGCAGAGGTTTGAATTGCTGAACGGATCTTGGAGCACAGATTAGCCATACACTGCCAAATTTTCTGGAATATCCATTTTTATAATAGAATTGTATTTTTGCTGCTGTCTGTTATTTCAGGGTCATAGAGATACTATAAGGTGAACATTTGGAGTGAGAAAACACATTGTTAATATAGTATTCATCCCGATTTAGCATTCAACCTTTTAAATTTTGTTAAATCTATTCCTTTATATTCACGGTAAGTTTGTGAAATTCCATGCTTTGCTCTGTCTATGGCATTTTAAGCACAAAACAGGATTCTTTGGTTATGAAATACTTATTTTAAAATGATTTTTAACAATGAATAAACTGGTGCCGAATGAACCATTCCTTAACGCATGACTCCGGGCCGGATGCATTAACATCTCCCTGTCCTGAGTGCATGCAAGTCCAAACAATTATTCGGTTAGATTTGTTTTCTTTAGTCACAGTGTTTGAAGCATAGCATGTTATATAAGACCTTGAATGCATTGGCTTACTGCGATCCCCCTTTTCACAGATTTTTGGTGATAGGACATAATGGCGAGAGATTTATAGAAGTATTTCTGGCTTAAATTTTATTTGTTTCCATGGTAATTGCAAATGGAATGCAATGGTTTTTGGTGCTGATGCACAAACAATGCACGTAAGGTCATGCAACCTCGCAAACCGCATGGCTTGTGTTGGACTCTGATTACTGATCTTCAAATTCCGATCAAAGTGTAATAGAATGCATAATGATCTCATAAATAACTACGATTTGTAAGAGTGGGGGTCTGGCTATAAACTAGCATTGTAAGACCGCTACCAACAGAGTTAATATATTATCTTTAAACTCATTGTGCACTGTTTGCCTCATTTCTTTTTCCATCATATTTTAGGGAAAACTTTCTATTTATCCATATTTGTACCATTAAAACAATAACATTAAAATCTGGGACAGTATACACCAAGACTATCCACCTTTTTAGCATGAAGGGCGACATACCTTTCAATAACTGATGAGACTGCTTCAGGACTGCTGTACAACCGATATTCAACTGCTGAAAAGTACAACTCATAAGATGGTTTGAAGGTTAAGTATAGCAACGTATCCATGAGGCTGTAAGCCATGTGTGTTGATGCAAGGTTGACACACTTATTCTGTGGGCACCAAATTTGGGCATTGCCTGCAAGCAGAGTTACAGTGCCATGTCTCTCTTCCCTGCAGCGGTCCTCATTCCATACCCCCAAATGAAAGTATGCAAAGTGCTAGCAATCAATATCAGATGTAAGAACATTCAGCAGTTATCTTATTTAATACAAACTAACATAATACTAATAGCTGCTAAGAAAACGAATTCTGAGATTGGACCAAGTTAAAAACACAGGAGACACCAGACCAAAATAGATGTAAATTGGGTGCCCTGGTAGCCTTTATACTAGGTCTAACCCCTTTTATTTTACCAGTTTATGTTTTTGTTTAATATGATTGATGGCAAACACCTCTTCCATAGCATAGATTAGTTTCACCCAGGACAGAATGGTTTCCGTGCTTCATTTCCAGCTTTTATAAGATTTCTCAAAAGGTGTGGGTGAACTGGCACGATTTAATAAAGTTTCTCACAAACTGTGTTCCAAATGTGTTTATAGCACTGGGCTGAATGGCTGGACTCCTACCAAACGCCCACAGTAGGTTGTCAACTCTTCCCACCCTCCATCACAGCAGCAGAGTAGCTAAAGCTACATAGAATTGGACCTTGTTTGAAGCCAACACTGCTTGTAATTCAAGTACTTTTGTGGCATGGCTTAGATAAGACTATAACAAACTCAAAGAGTTGTTTATGATTAAAGCAGAATTTAGTTTCTTATGTCTTGCAATCACACCATCTGTAACCTTAACTACCATATTGTAGAATTTCCCATAGTTTCAGTTTTGCATGATTTCTCTAATCACATGGGGGAATTTTTTTTTTTTTTAAATTTAAACACATTTTGCATGTTTCACTCTCAGCTGATAAATGTGACATTTTCCTTTGTGTTATATGTTGCAGATTTCCTTAGAAATACTACGAGTTATGAAAATCAAACTAAACTACAAAGTTATTTTTATTGTTTATAAAATGCATGCAAAGTATCAGAAGAGTATTCTGTAGATAATTATATCATTTATAATTCATATGATGAAAATTAACAGGAAATGACGATCAGCTCAGTCGATTACCTGAAATGACAGCAGAAAGGGGTTTTCCATTAATATAATTAACATTTAGTCTGTTTACAATAGACTTTATCAACTACAATTACAGAGCAGCAGCTGCACATATTACAAAGTAGAAACATTGTGGTTTCCATTACCTGGGCTTTCAGGGTCATAATGCAGAAATGGCTCCTTCGTATTTTACATGATAAGTACACAATGTGACTTAGATATGATGAAAACGTACCGGTGTCCTTTCTGACGTGTGTGGAACAGAGCTCAGCAGCAAATTTACAGAGAATGTGTCAAACACCAAATGTGTAAGATTTTTTTAAATGTAATTTATTTTTTTAAGGCAAAATTTCTAGATTTATAGAGTTTTTTTTATTTTTATTTTTTTTTTTGGGTTCACCAACTGATGAGCTATTCGTAAAGCATGGAAAATCCAAAGTAGACTTAATATAACCCTGTACTGTTTTGCCTTCCCTCGCCCAGTGTGCAGGGGGTGATGAGAAAAAGTGGGCCCATTCCCCTTCTTAAGCAGGAGCGTGCCATATCTGCATTCAACAGAATGGGGAATGATTTACGTTTATACATTGTACACTTGACATATATGTACTCTTAAGTAGCTTCCATGATGAAAGGGACATTATGGCGTTCATAGTTATAGTTAATGGTTTAGTACAGAGGTAGGCAACCTTCGGCACTCCAGATGTGGACTACATCTCCCATAATAATCTTATAGCCATAATACTGGCAAAGCATCATGGAGATGTAGTCCTCAACAGTTGGAGTGACAAAGGTTGACCGGAACGGGTTCCTATCTGTGAGATTTTCTATGGGTGGTATTGGCACGTAAGGAAGGGAAAACTACACAGACTCTATGGTGCCCAGAAAACCGGCCACTTCTTGACAACTAGTAGTCAACTTTGAATGTCACAGTACACGGAGCAGGCCTGAGGCTCTCCCAGGTACAGCATTTTGCAATGATGAAGCTCTAAAGCTGTCAGATGTTTCAACTTACCGTGCTCTTACTGCAAGGCTCCAATAGACTGCAATCTGGTTTCTAGTTTCCCACTGCTATCCAGAGGCACCAAGTCAGAGCATCCACCAATGCACTCCTCTTCAATAAATATACGTGGTACCTGCAGTACACACTTTATTAATTTCCTTCAAAATGGCTGAATTAACACAATTTTATTACATTTTAACCAAGTCATTAACTAAAATAGCAAAAACGTACATGCAGGTTGTTATTTTATTTTTTACTCAGACTTAATGCATTACAATAAAATACAGATAGGGAGAACAGATGGGCAGAATTTGCATTCATACAAGGATTTACTGTAACTTGATGTTAACACATTTCCCTGTACTTTCTCAGCAGTTCCATGTATCATATTTGAGTAATAGAACTATAATCTGGTACTGAACTACATACATTATGAACCACTGGTTTACAGTTACTGCTAGCCTGTTCATTTAACAGGTGCATGAGCTATCTAAAAAGGGCATTAAAACTGGGGTAACTTCCAGTCTGAAATAACTTAACAGGAATTTAACATTATGTTTACTTGCCCCCTATATGTAACTTGTGTGTTCCTGAGGTCTGAAAAGTAAAATTGTCGAAATTTACACGGCTCTACCCTGGAACTGATTGCTTCTTCATTGCCTGCTGACAATCATAGTTGTATCAACTTTGCTCTTTTCTGTTAATTGAACATGGAGTGTTATGGTGAAGAAACATTCTGTAATATACATTTTTTTAAAAGAGAAAAAAACAAAACAAATGGTGACTGGTGGTTTCTTTCTGGTTTAAGGAAAGAGTCCACACCTGATTCCCCCCCTCCCCCTCCCCAGATATTTACATATTTGCTGCATCATCTGTTTATTTTTGCCTACGCATTGCTCTGTTCCATTGATTGGAAGGACATTTGGGAAATTACCAAAGTAGTTTCTATTTGGATAGGTTTGCAATCCTGACATAATATACTGTTCTATTGGTACAATACCTCTGAACAGAATGTGTTTTACTCCACTTGATTTAGGTTGAAGAAGAAATTTAAGGTACCTTTTATGACATGTGGAGGCAATACCCTAGGGTGAGCACCTTCTGGACTAAGGTATTAAAAAAACTCATAGGTCAACTTCTCCATAAACCTGTTCACCTTTCTCATGCCCAGTGTTCAAAATTTCTCTAGTGGCTAGGAGAGCCTTTTTAGCAGTAGTTATATCAAAGATGTATGCCAACATGGTGATGGGCAATTTTTTTGCCATGGTCCACAATACCATATCTAATTTTCACTAAACATGGAACCCCAGATTCATTTTCGAGATCCGCTTCAATAAAAGGCTCTGTGTAAAGTTCTTAGAGAGGTACATCATTACTCTTTCTCTCCCTCTTCCTTACTCATACCTTTCTAGCATCTTCTTCCTTGCTTCACTCCTACTACTTTCCTCTTTGTTTTCCTTTTTTTTCCCCCCTTCTGCTTGCTTTTGGGTTTTATTGTTCTTATAAGAACAGGCTGAGTGAGTGTAAATTCTTGTTTTATGAGTTGACCATGTTATTTTATAGCAGTTGTATAGTGATTTTCAGTGTTTTTATTTAAGGGTATACTTTAATACTAAGTGTTGATGCTTTCTCTTTGTACCCATTGCTTGCGGTGGCAGTGTGATTTGTTAACGTCATAAATAGTGAAAGATTTTAATTCTGCCTTCTTTTATTCTGTGCATTGCACAGAGTTTAGTGGTGTTGTGGAGACAGGCTCAGGCACCAAGTGTAGTGGTGTTGTGGAGACAGGCTCAGGCACAGAGGGTAGTGGTGTTGTGGAGACAGGCTCAGGCACAGAGGGTAATGGTGTTGTGGAGACAGGCTTAGGCACCGAGGGTAATGGTGTTGTGGAGACAGGCTTAGGCACCGAGGGTAATGGTGTTGTGGAGACAGGCTCAGGCACCGAGTGTAATGGTGTTGTGGAGACAGGCTTGGAGACCATGGTGAGGCCTAATAGAAAGCAGTTGTTGTTGGGGGATTCGGTCATAAGAAGTGTGGAGCTGAACAATGGTGGTCTTGTGAGAGGTCTTCCCGGAGCTACTGCTCAGAGAGACAGGAGACGTATTTGAAATATTGTTAAGCGTGCAAAGCAGGAAGGGGAATTAGATGTACTTGTCCATCTTGGGACAAATGACTTAGCTTGCAATAAGGTTTTGACAATGCTTTCCTATGCGACCGGCTGAATGCGCGCGCAGCTCTTGCCGCGCGTGCGCATTCAGCCAACGGGGCGGAGAGGAGGAGGAGAGCTCCCCGCCCAGCGCTGGAAAAAGGTAAGTTTTTACCCCTTTCCCCCTTCCAGAGCCGGGCGGGCACTATAGCGCCAGAAAAAAAAAAAAAAAAAAAGAGTGTTTTCCTGGCACTATAGTGGTCCTTTAACACAGTGAGGGAGTTTAAGCATGCGTGGGATATGCATAAGGCTATCCTAACTATAAGATAAGGCCAGGGACTAATGAAAGTATTTAGAAAATTGGGAAGACTAGATGGGCCGAATGGTTCTTATCTGCGTCACATTCTATTCTATGTAAACTCTGTTAACCTGAAAAAAGTGCAAAACTCTATATTAACAAATCATTTCCACTACAACATTGTATGGAAAAAAGCTCACTGGGAGTATGTATCTGCGTGCCACTAAAATAATCAAACTGCTGGAGAATCAGGCCTTTTGGATCGTAACAAAAGAAATAATGTAGCCAAAAAGTCTGTTATATCGAGCCACTTAGGGAGTGGATTTAAATGATATGTAAGAACATTCAGATTGGGAGGCGAGTCGTGTCATTTTACCCCTAAGGACGTCTGGAAGCACCGGACATAACACGTAAGGTTGTTTTAGTTTATTTATTTTCATGCAGTTTCAGTTGAGTTATTTTAATATTTGATGAACATATCCCACTTGGAGTGACTATTAGTTGGCTATTTCACCTACTGGTTGTCTGAACATCACAGGAGCCTGGATCCTGATGTCACACTCAAAAGGTTGTGATATGCACAGTTTTATTGAGATTTTGTAAGTGCAATTCTTCATTAAATACTGGTATTTAAAAGATCTGCACAGTGTGGTTTTAAATTTTATTTATTTTTTTTAATCTATGTATGCTTTGTATTTTTTTTTTTTTTTTTTTTTTTAGATTCTATATTTATTTTTACATTTGAAAATCAGAGGAATCTTTTATTCTACAGAAATATTGTTGAGAGGTCGGAGGGCCCGATCCTCCCAGAGTTTGGTTGTTTGAGTGGCAAACAATCTCTCACTCCTTGTGAGTGTTTCCATACGGCGATATATTGGAAATGATTTGTTAATTTTTTGTGTTTTATTCTTTACAGGTGACCAGAATATGCTGTTGAATGTATAATTATATACATTTAATTTGTTGGCGCACCATTTGTAGACATGTTTGTTGTATGTTTTAGGATTCATAAGACTTGTTTACCTAGTGATCATTTTTATTTATATCCTATTTATTTAAATTTTGTAATCAATATATAAATTGGGGTCGGGACTGCACCAACTAAGAAACGTACTTTCTTGGCTGCCTGATCATAGCGTAACCCTTTCAATAAACAAACTCTCAAAGAACCAACAGTAGCAAGGTCTGACAATCGCCAATACTGCTGAATGCATAACTTCAGAAACGTTTGTCTTTGGAAATGTTCTTACATAGAACATATAATAAATTGTTACTTAGGATTTTTGCATTCCGGAGTAATCATCCGTTAAAGCAACTTGGCAGGGAGTTCTTTTTACAAGTTTATCCTCAACAGCTGTGGTGTCAGACTGAGCCCACCCAGATGCTGTTGGACTAGAACCCTTCGTGCCTATTGATTAACATCTGGGGGGGAAGTTTGGCAACAAAATGCGTTACAGAATACAGCAAGTTGCATTGTGGGTAACCACGTGACATGCGCCGAAGTCACACACTATGTACTGGGCACAGAAACTAATATCCATTAAATATAGAAAAGGGGTGGTGTATTCTGAATGGGCTTCCTCTACAGAGATTGTAGCAGCGACTAGAATTATTTGATATACAATAATATATTCCAGTGAATCATAGGCGTGCGCAGCCTATTGGATAAGGGTGTGCACCCAAAAGCACACAAAGCGTATATATATATATATATACACACACATACATATATACATACACACACACACACACACACACACACACACACACACATAGTGTGTTAAGGCCGTTTGGCCTGTATTTGTGGAAGGGGCTGAAATTAATTCACTCCCCTATATAAGGTACAACCCTTACCTGACTCCACACCGTTCAAGGTCAGCGTCTGAATGCACTTCCGGTTCATCCAGTCGCCATTTTGGAATACTTCTGTGTCCCACAAGGTTTTCCATCGCTGAAACTGTGTCCAGGAATCCTTCTGCAAATTTCCTTTGGATCAGCTTCTTGCCTACTATCGCCACGGATCGCGTCCTAGCGACTATCAAACAGTAAGTAGACCTAACCATTACGCCAGGCAACAAGGCCCACGGCATCAAATACGGTTCAGGTCCTCACTTACTGTACGCGTTCGGCTATTTCTGCTCTTAAAATCTGTATACTATATCCGTCCGGGTTCAGCTGTTCGCTTACACGGCATTTTCGTTAGACGTTCGGTACTTAATATGATGTGCTGCATATTTCTCCCATTTATTTACTCGCTTAAACATTTTTGCATACATGTCTACGTTCGTGCGGTCAAACGCACGAACACGCTATACAATTAGTGCTACTGATTCTCCTGTCACTTACTGTTCAGGAGTTTCACATCGCACGAACAATATTCACATATATACTAGCACTGCCGACTGGGCAGCCGTTTGGCCATAGCAAGTCAAACCCTGCTAGTCTTATGTTGTCCAGTTCGTGCGGTTAAACGCACGAACGGACAATTGTTGGGAATAAAGCATTATTGCTTAAATGTTACATGTTGAGAACTACACTCACGAATGGGTTAACAAATAGGTCCCAGTTACACATATGGGTATTCACATGGTTAAAGATTCCACACTGCCACCTTCAGGTCAGCAAGGATATTGCCATTATTGTAATATCACATTACTTTCCTGTCCACCATACATAATCTCACAGATATATCATACATTTTCCCTAAGGGGTTTTATATACATTTTTCTACATTTGCCTTTACTACTACATTTGCCTACCAACTACAAGGCGACATACAGAATTAAGGAGATCTTACAAACACCATCTCCTGACCTATACAGGTCAATACGAACATAATTAAAGATAATATAATTGTGTCACTTGTATATATTTTTCATACGGGTCATCTATTTAGTTACAGGTACTACTATTACCTATACGGATTACCAGGTTCAATAACCTATACTACCAGGTACGTACACCTGCTTACAGTAGACCTATTCACAAATATATATATATATATATATATATATATATATATATATATATAAAAAGGCATCCCTACTAATTGCCTCCCAGGATGTGGTGGAGAACAAAACCTATATGTACGATGACGTTTCTGTAGTGGTCAGATCAAAAGACGCAAGGTTAAACTGACCATTCCAGAATTTGTGTTAGCCTTTGGTATTTTTAGAGATGTAATTTGTGAAGTGTACCCTAATAGAAGGGAAGAATTTGATCGCTATATGCACAAGCTGGTGGACCTGGGGAACAAATATGGTGGATCTGCTTTTTATGACTACCATAGGTCTTTTTCCACTAAGGTGTCTGGAGCTCTCTCTCAGTATGGTACCCGTATCAACTGGAGCAGACTAGATACAGAGCTGTTTGTAGACACTTCGCAGGTCTCAAAACACCGGCTTGTGCATCCTGCTCTTCTACCACTCACACTACCAATTTTTGTTCTCACACGGCAGACGACCGTAATCAGTCACCTAGCACAAGCTACGCGGGTAGAACTGAGAGAACCACCAGAGACAAACTGGGTCATCCTATCATTTTCTTTGGTAAATCACAAGTGTGCAATAATTTCAATGTGGGCACATGTAGCTTTAGGTCATGCAGGTTATTGCATATTTGTTCACATTGTTTCAGGGCACATGCGCATACCATGTGTCCAAATAAAATGTACCCTAAACCGTACATAACGTCTGTTAACATTCATGTCTTCTCAGCACTACTAACCAATCACCCTTCCAGACATATGGTACATTTTCTCATTTCTGGATTCTCAGAGGGGTTTCATACAGGCATTATACATATGCCCACAGGCCAACTCGAATGTCCTAACAATCAGCACAACAAAACCCAGCAGCCATAGACACACTCTTAGCCCAAGAGCTGGCAGAGGGGTTCTTGTTCAGGCCTTTCAAAACCCCACCTTTTACAGCATGGCGCACAAATCCCATAGGGATAGTCACAGGGAAAACTTCCCTCAAGCAAAGACTCATCATAGATCTGTCAGCCCCTCATACCTCATCTACACCGAGTCTGAACTCTCTTATTCCCTCGGAAGAGTTTTCCCTACAATATACCACTATAGACCATGCTATTACAGCCATTATGCAAGCAGGGATGGAGCATAGTGCCTTTAAACTACTACCTATCCATCCCACACTATGGCACTTACATGGCATCAAATGGACAGATAACTATTACTTTTTCTCCCGCTTAACCTTTGGGTCAAAAAGTAGCCCCAAAATC